GTAAAAAGAAAAATCACTTTGCTTCAGTCTGCCGCTCCAAGAAGTTCTCACACAGAGTGCGCACAGTTCAAGATGAATCTGGTTCGGGCAGCTCCACATCTGATGATGAAAACGCATTCATCATCCATCGTGTGCTGGCATGTAAAAATGCTGTCGTTAGTTTTATCCCCTCTTTTGTCATTTTTCAAAGGTTCACGATTGTCCCCGGCCCTAATGCACAATTCTCCACCAGGGACATTATTTGCATGCTCGGACACGTCCGACATAAAACAAGCTGTTTTTCCAGTGGATCCAGTTTTCAACAAATCAGATCCCCTTCACCGTCCTGCACTCCTTGATATCGGTGGCCATGCATCCCATATCTGTCTCGATACAGTTAAGTTTGCGGGGGGGGGGATTTAAGATGCTGTGCCTGTCACCCCACACAGCCAACAGGTTGCAGCCACTTGACCGAACAGTTTATGGTCCACAGCAGACGGCCTATGACATAGAATGTGCTGATGACTACATCAGCCAACACGCAGGAAAGGTTGTAACACGATATACTGCCAACAGCTGTTGTATGCAAACACCAGTGCCAGTTGTATGCACGTGCCAATGAGAAACAGAAGTCCTTCTGTGAGCTAACAGTCACCGGTCCTGTGCAGCTTCTTGATCTGAATGCCTATGAGACTTGAACAAGCTCTTGGTGACCAGTTGTTTCCAGACGACCAGCGAGTTGCAGGTGCCCTAACTCCTCAACAGATTCGTGAAGCAGAGTTCCAACTCATCCGACGACCGCAGATGGAGAGCTTCCAGACCGAGACTGCTGCACTTGAAGCAGGACAGGAGATCCCCCAAAACAGCCGTCTACTAGAACTGGCACAAGAGCTGGATCAGGCCATGCAACTGATCCGAGTCGGAGGCTGCTTGAGAAAAGTTGCCCAAGATGACTCCCTGGATCTTGAGCCACATTCTATCCTCCTCGATCAACACCATCCAGTTAGCAAACTTCTCATCAGAGATGCTGACCAAAACTTCAGTCACCAAGCTGGGACCGGGCAGATATTTGCTCACCTAAGATGACGATTCTGGATCCTTCGTGGCCGCAGTGCCATCAAGGGTGTACTCCGCACCTGTGCAGAGTGCCGTCGCTGGCGTGCAAAACCACAATTCCCACGAACGGCGGACCTTCTAAAGTCCCGTTTGCGGCTCAACCTACCTCCCTTCTATTCCACCGGAACAGACTGTTTCTGTCTGATGATGGTGAAGAGTGGGCGATGCCAAAAAAGAGGTGGGCTTATTGTTCAAGTGCATGACTACCCGAGCCATACATCTGGAGCTTGTTGAGTACAAATGTACTTGGATACCAAACATTTCCTCATGGCCTACCGACGGTCTGCTTCATGCCGAGGAGTACCTCACGAGCTGCTCAGGACTGTGGTACTAATTTCAAGGGGGCAGATACTGGGATAAGAGATGCCTTGCAGGAAATGGAACCTGAGATGGTTCAGCGTCTGGCAAAGTACAGTGTTGTTCCGCTTCAACCCACCTAATGCACCTCACTTTGGAGGTATATGGGAGCGAGAAGTGAGATCGGTTTAGGGTGCACTGGAAGGTGTTCTTGGCGACTGCAGAGTTGCTGAACCAGTACTCTAAACGGTGCTGACTGAAGCAGAGGGCATCTTGAATTCCAAGCCGCTATAGGCTATGCCTCATCTGAGTTAGCAGATCCTGACCCGGTGACACCCAATATGCTGTTAATGGGGCAGTGGGACCCTGCTCTAAACAATGGTCATCTACGACGAAGTCAAGTTGAAGGGAAGTCACAATTAGAGGCACTGCAGGTGAGCTTCGAAAGCTTCTGGGCTTACTCGGATACTGTAGGAGTTATACACAGGACTTCTCACGATGAGCTAAGCCCTTGTATGATCTGCTCACAGCACCCTCAGCAAAGGAAGAATCGCAGCAGAGCCAGAAAACAACCAGAGCTAGGAACAACTCCAGGGAAAAACCAATTTCCCAGAAGAAGCTGGGACCGCGACCATCCAGGGAACACACTGACTGGAACCTTCTAGTAAGCCCATCAGTGATGGCATTCCTCGAACACAACAAGCCATTCATTGTTCACACGGATGCTCTGACTGGTTCTGTCCTCACTTTGCAACCCACAGCTCTGGTTGTTCCCTTTGGTATCCGCACATTTTTCTTTCCTGTTTGAGTTTCCTGACTTCATTAGTGAAATGATTGAGAGCCATACTCAAATAAATTTCCTTCCATGGTCAACCCATCTATTTCCCTCATCAACATTGTTCACATTCCATCGTCTGGCCACCAACTCTTCTCTCCACTCCTTCCCACGGTATACCCTGCATGCATATAGCCCCAGATAAACACCTGGTCTGTTAGTCTAAAGCATGTCTAGTGAAAATCATGGCAGCAGACCAGACACCCTCAAGTTCGGTATCGCTTGGACAAGGAAATTTAAATCGTCCCCCTTCCATCGACATTCATCGCTGAACTACGGTAAACTGGAAACACTGGCAAAATAGATTTGAAATTTACGCCAGGGCGATGAGCCTCTTCAGCCAAGACATATTGGTTCAAAGCGTTACACTAATGCACATCATCGGCGAAGGTGTGTTGGATGTATATGACACTTTTCTGTTCACTAAGGACGAGGACAAAGATGATGTGAAAGTGCTGCTCGACAAATTTAAGACTCACTTCTTGCCAAAGAAAAATACAACTGTGGAAAGATACAATTTGCAGAGCTGCAATCAACCAGATGAGTTGCACCTGTGGGAAGACGAATCACTACAGCATGAGCAAGATGTGCTGTTTTAAAACGTCTTCAATGTCAGCGTGAGGAAAGTCGCCACTTGGTAACCCGCTGGGGCTCCGTGAGTTGATTCGCACACATTTGGCTAAAGTATGCACCAACGTTTTGCCAACGTTACATGGAGGATAGCCTTGATGATATGAATAATGAAATATGCATGGTGTACCTGGACGGTGGCCTGATCTATAGCAACACTTTTGAAGATCGTGCGGAAAGAGTATTAAGGAAAGTCCTGCGGCGGATGCACGAGCATGGGATGAAGTTGAGTCCTGCTAAAATGTTCCCTGTTTCAGGCACAATTTAAGTATCTACGCACTGTTTCAAATTCAAATACTGCTGATTGTTTTAAAGGATGGGCAGGGCACTGTATGGATTGTAAAGAGATCGCAGCCTTGATGCCTGCAGGCAAAAACGGCCATCAAAGATCACCGGCCAATTCTCGGTCTCCTTGGTCATTATACTGCAAGGAATGTGGTCTCTGAAGCTGAAAGGATAATGCAATTAGCTGCCTTTAGTACAGATTTCATTGGCAATGAGCTAGATGAGGGGAAAGAAATTTGAAAAAGAAGAGACAAATTCTGTCAGAAATGTGTACTAGTATGGGTGCAATGATCGCGGCATATCTCATCCCCATTGTTACTGTGTTAGAGAGAGAGTACAAGCGATAGTATCTCGATACAAATGACCATGAAAAGAGAAATTTGTTCATTGGGATGTGGGTATGGCAGGGAAAAGACAGTCCAATCTCAAGAAACCCATTGTGATGAGACGTGAATTTTCCTCCAGAGCAAAGTTTGCACGCCAGAATAAAAGAGGAGACAAAAGCAATTGAAGTGCAGCTCAGAAGTATTGGTCTTGATGAAATTCAGTAAGAGTTCCCAGAGTTGTAAGAAAAAGACCTGGCACATCTCATGGATATATTGTCACATGCTGTTGTAGGCAGAAACATCTACCATGTGTGGTATGGTACAGATTCTCAGGACAAGCAGATCTACATGTACTCTGGAAGAATATAAAAAAAACTCAAGAAGGGGACGAAAATCGAGATGAAAGTTATGAAGACACCTTGGACTATGAAATCTCCAAGTTTAAACTTGGGGCAGACCTAACCTGTAAGGACCTCAATGCTGTCGTAAATCTTTGGCGAGCTCTTTTGCACACATGTTCAACATTCCGGCCTTTCTTGTCCATTCATCGGACTGTGAGGATGCCAATTCTGTGTACATCTCCAGTAACACTGACAAGAACAATCAGGAGTCGGGTGATTCAAAGATAATTGGGTAATTAAAATATTACACTGTTTGCCGTTAACCTAACAAATTCTCTTCACACTCAAATTCAAGTGAAGTTTGAACTGGCTCCAGCTGACATATATATATTGCATATATTGTTGATGTACCCTAACGTGGCGCGGCCCCTAACGTGGCGTGGCCCCCAACGTGGCGCACTTTAATTTTTCGCCTGTAGCGCCGAACTAGAGCAAAAGTTTTAACTGAAATTTCACAGAAAGTGACATTTCATCAAGTTCTAAACACTCCTGTTCATAAATCGCGAGTTTATTTACCCGTTACAAAGTTAAAAGATAAAATTATTTTGGTGTGATTTTCCGATTTTATTTTCAAGTGCAAAGTGAACCCTTTGAAAATGCCCCGAAAAAATAAGAAAATAATTTTCTGCCAAACATCTGGCTGGGTATGTAAGTAGAGATAATAATGATTTATCAGAATTTATCAAGTTAACAGAAATTCTTAATTATTAATTTGGAATTTTCCGAGATTTATTTAAGTGCGCCACGTTAGGAAACACTCCGCGAATTTGTGCCCAATTTCCGGACGCCACCGTTTTTGAATTTCGGATTAAATTTTATGAAACCGAAATTGTTCACAGAGGTTAAATAACACGCGTTAATAAGGTAAAAGTACCAGTATGTTACTGCATGAATTTGAGGTTTGTCAACAAAGAGGTTTGGCAACACTACTCGAGGAAAGTTGGGTAAGCTTCGAAGTGCGCCACGTTAGGGAACACGACTATACATGTAGGAAAGAATTGGCGAAGTTATGGCACTCTGAATCAATTTTCCCCCTCAAATTATAAAAACAAGAGGTCTTAATTATAAAAGGTCACAACCTTTTCTTTGGTTTCCTTTAAAAAGGGCACAAAACTAGGAAAGAGTGAGGCATTAAAATTGTCCGAGAAGGTTCATCTTTATATCATTTTACAGTTCTTTTCAATCTTTCCAAAGATGCAAGTTTAGTGTGAAATCTAAAAACAAAGTGGGTTTTTTTTGGTCACATAGCTATGTACCAGCTCTCAGTTATATAGAAAAGTTAATTTTTTTCTCATTCAAGTTTTTGCTGTTGAAAACAATTTTGAAAAGTACATGTACACATTCATACACAACATACCTGATTGCCTTTTAATTTGGTGTACACATTTGCACACAACATTACTTAATGCCACATTTGGGGTTGTATGTCAACCGACATTCTCAATCGTCCTGATGAAACACCTCATCGTCCTGATGAAACGCCTCTTAATTATGTCATTTGAGGATGACTCAGACAGCAATGATGATAATGAAAGTCGAGGAGAGGTTGATGATAATTACAGAAGCAGCGAAGCATCTAGTGTCTCATCAATTGATGGTAGTTTGACAACCTCATTTCCAGAGTACATGAATGTGAGGATCGTTCTCAACGTAATCTTCCAATTTCTGGTGACTTTGGCCCGTCTTACAGCAAATCTTGTCAAAGTTGAAGTGGCCGTTCATGTATCTGCGAAATCAGCGAAGCATCTAGTGTCTCATCAATTGATGGTAGTTTGACAACCTCATTTCCAGAGTACATGAATGTGAGGATCGTTCTCAACGTAATCTTCCAATTCCTGGTGACTTTGGCCCGTCTTACAGCAAATCTCGTCAAAGTTGAAGTGGCCGTTCATGTATCTGCAAAGTCAGTGATGAAAACAAAATATATTGGTCTTTGTCTGTAATTCTTCAGTTCATCACCGACAAAGGCATTTGCAATTATCATTGAATGAAATAATTCTTGTCAGTATAATCGAATGGCATTGCGAAAGATTTTACAAAGTCCTCTATGAAAATCTCCTTCAGCCACTACTTTCATGGGACAAAATTGTACACAGATTGTCTTGGAAAAAGAGCATTTCCATTTCCTTCCTGTTACAAACATTTGAATATACAAATCCAGCAACAATATGAAATGCTTGAGGGCGCTATTCAGCTAAGTGTGGTGTACCTGGCCAAAAAGCCTTACAACTCCACACAAAATTAGGGATTATCGTCATAATTTCTTGAAACATTCTGTTAGTTACATAAGCCAAAATAACAATAGCCAGTAAGCAGGAACACTCAGCTCAGGAAGACACTGTGCTGTCTACAAATACTCTAATTAAAAGATCCAGCTTAGAAGAAAACTGAGCGTGAAGTCCACACATCTGAGCTTGAGCAGTTACAGTATTTGGCCATAATTCCATGGCCAAATACAGTAATCGCTTCTCCAATTTGTCTATAACTGCATTCATTTTTACGTCAAACATTTTCAGAGACCATTTTATTAGGACATTTTTCAGTAATGGCATAGGTTTTTGGTTAAAGATGCTGAATGTTCTGCCTGTCAATCGAATAGTACACATTGACCAATTACATCAAGACTTTTGGTCAGGTGACAACAGTAGCTCAGTCATACTCGTCCACAAGCATTGTAAGAAATGTACACAAACTAAAAGTGGGCAAGCCAAAATATGGCAAATCCAGAGTGTTCCATTAATGCAGTGCATCAAGTGTTTTTACCTGTCTAGTGGCTGGGTCCGTTGCTGATCAACACGGTCTGGCACCCTGACTGGATACTGATGGAGTCTTTTGATGAGACCACGCAGAACTCCAAACTGTATTAAATGTCTAGCATAGAAACATTTAGTAAGAAGTGTTGAGATTGTTGTAGAGATGAAAAAACAGAACAGCATGTGGTGATTAATCAGTATTTGAATGGAAATTTTTATTAAAAAAGTGAACTGGACAGTGGACAGTTTTGACTGTGATATCCCTGTAAAATGGAACATATACAGGAAGGCTTAAATGTACATCTTCAATACTCCCAAGCAACCCTCAAACATAATCTTGGCACAATTACATGTAACTCTCTAAAATGTATAGCCTTACATGTCTGTTCTTGGGTGTACACCACTCACTGGAACACTAACTAACGTTAGCTAAGCCTCTGTAAAGGTGCCAACAACCCCAAGGTGGAGTTAAGACATAAGCGTAAAACTGTTGTCAAAATGGCGACATCCAGTGTCACTGTGTACCAAGTCTTTGAAAATAAGTTGTGAATAAAAATGAAATTTCGGTTGACGTTTTAAAAAAAAGATTTTCAATGTAGAAAAAAGCAAGTTGCCCCTCCAACAACTCACTGTGTGTTCAGCTCACTGAAAATATAATGATGCAAACGTTTGCCATTGCTGGTGGCACACAGTTAGTCCCACTGGCGTGAATGTCGCCAACTGTTGGCAAACGTTAACATTGTTCATGCAAGTGCAACGCACTCCCAAACAGAGACTTTTCCACATACAGAAAATTTCCGCAAACATTAAATGAAGTTCTTGTGTCCCTCACATGGTGCTCTCGAGAGCGGTTGTAATGTACCATCTACTGCTGATGCATCAAGTCCATTGGCTCATACAGGGTATTCCTTGTGAAATGTTCAATGTGTTATGAATTCGATGCTCTCTGCTTGGTTCAGCTACATGTACAGGTATCTGTTCAGATATCTACAGGGTGAGTAAAAGAAAACGAAACCCAAATGTCGGGACCATTGTTTTAGTTCTGCATGTAGCACTTTCAAAATCTAGGGTATGAAAGCCCAATTCAAGCCTTCTTTTAATACAAGAATCATTCAGATCACTCATGTACTTTTGAAGTTACGGAATTTTATATACAACCACCGTTTTAAAGTTCTGTCCACAGATCACAAAAAATTCATCCACATCCCTTTGTGATTTGTTTTCGGTTTGCTGAAAGAACACTTTTGTGTGATCCGTGGATACAAATTTAAAACGGTGGTTGTTTTTAAAATTCCATAACTTAAAAAGTTCACAAGCGATTTGAATGATTTTTGTACTAAAAGAAAGCTTATGAATTGGGCTTTCATATCCTAGATTTTGAAAGTGCCACATGCAGAACTTCACTAAAACAATGGTCCCAACATTTGGGTTTCGCTTTTTTTGACTCACCCTGTTCACATTCCTTCCAAGCACTGACCTTTCATCAATATTCATTGACCTTGGGTCAAATCGAAGGCACAGGTCTTTGACACTGATGTCTGACCTCAGGCTGCCGTAGAGGTGCATGATGGACCGGAGGGGCGGAGCGCTGGCCATTTCTGTGGGATTGAGCAAAATCAAAATTAAGGTACGTGAATCGGGCTGGCACAGTAGTGTACAATAACTTTCCTGGCTTGAAATACCCACAGGACAGAGAGACAGAATGTAAGTCATTCTAGTGGCCCGTAGGACACAGCTAGATCGAAGATGCAGTTGTTTTTTGAAACTTCTCTTCGTTGTTAACAAACTTAAAATGACTACTTTGTTTCCAAAATACTATAAATGCCATTAGGTAACCTTTTAGAATACTGCCCTCTCATGGTTGCCCAAAGTCAGTTTTGATGGCTGTCACATATATATAGTAAAACACAATCCATACAATTAAAGTTAATTAAGGCAAAAAAAAAAAATGCTCGGTCTCTGGTCAGACCAAAGTTCCGGAATTGATGCGGCGACGCCACTTTTTTTTTTTTTTGCTTTTTTTTTTTGCTTTTTTTTTTTTTTCAAGCTTGGATTGTACAGACAAGGTGGGGTACTATTTTGCTTTTTTTGGTGTCCTCATGTACATTGGTGTCCTCCATAATTTGCCTTGGTGCCCTCGATCATTTGCCTTGGTACAATTTTCCATTCCTTGGTGCTCTTTGGTAAAAAATGTTTGAGGAGGTGCGGCAATAGACGGCGCTGTTGGAGCTACCGCGGAACATTTTGGAAAAAAAAGGATTGACGCGCATGATTAAAATCGACGCGCACGCTGACCAGAGACCGACTATTTTTTTTTTTTTGCCTAATGTAGAAACAGCTTTTACACTGTGAGTGTTTTATATTGTATATATACAATATAACTGTGTACATGTTTCATAATAGTTCAACTTTATCAATTTTTTTTTTTCAAATGGATATTTGGTTGATGGAGAAGAACGTCCAAGTGGAACACTCTACGAGATAGAGCTCTGCATTCAGCCGAACACTGCAATAAATGGACAAGGAGTGCCAGCTACTTCCAGACAAAGAATTTGCCTCCTTTAGAAACGCGCTTGATACCAAGAAGAAAGAGCTGTCTGATGCAGGATATAGAGTAAAACAGCGCAAGGCAGAGATAATCAGCATAAAGGATGAAAACGTCATGTGGGAGAAGAAGATTCTTGGATATGACACACTCCAGCAGTTGGTTGATACTGTGCTCTACCTCTTCGGGATCCACTTTGCCCTGCGGGCTGCCGCTGGGGGAGAACATCGTCAGCTGCGCCACTTCAACTCACAAATCACTCTTCATGCAACCAGCGATGAAAAACAGTTTCTTCGATACACTGAAAATGTGTTGAAAAGCTGTCAAGGTGGACTAAAACATCAAACACTCGCGCAAAAAACTGAAGATGCGTATGAAAATCCCTCAGATCCAGAAAGATGCATAGTGTGACTCTATGAGAAATATGTAAGTCATAGACCCACATCACCTAAGTGAAGTCCTACGTTCTACGTTTGTCCCCTCGCTAGACCAAAGGATGATGTCTGGTACAGCCGTCAACCAGGGCATTCACCAGCTAACTAACACTGTAAAAGGCATTTGTGCTACAGAGGAGCAAGAACAAGTGAGAAGCTGTCAAGGTGGACTAAAACATCAAATACTTGCGCAAAAAACTGAAGATGCGTATGAAAATCCCTCAGATCCAGAAAGATGCATAGTTTCGACTCTATGAGAAATATGCAGGTCATAGACCCACATCACCTAAGTGAAGTCCTACGTTCTACGTTTGTCCCCTCGCGAGACCAAAGGATGATGTCTGGTACAACCGTCAACCAGGGCATTCACCAGCTAACTAACACTGTAAAAGGCATTTGTGCTACAGAGGAGCAAGAACAAGTGAGAAGCTGTCAAGGTGGACTAAAACATCAAAACCTCACGCCAAAAACTGAAGATGCGTATGAAAATCCCTCTGATCCAGAAAGATGCACAGTTGCAGCTCTATGAGAAATATGTAGGTCATAGACCCACATCACCCAAGTGAAGTCCTAGGTTCTACCTTCGTCCCCTTGTTAGACCTAAGGATGATGTCTGGTACAGCTGTCAACCAGGGCATTCACCAGCTAACTAACACTGTAAAAGGCATTTGTGCCACAGATGGGCAACGACAAGCCATCAGCGATGTTCTCATCTCAGCCTCCAAGAGGCGTCTCAAAGAAACCTGCGGACATGTTGGTGACACTGCAATTACAGCAAGAGCATTCGCTGTGCCAGACCTGTGTCCACATGACATGCAGACGGACGTGGGATAAATGTAACTGCAAATTTCAATATGCCCCAGTCAGGATTAAAATGCAAAGTTCTATGACCATGTTGCACACCAATGCATTTAAACTTTAGTTCACTTTTTGAGTAATAGAAGTATAACTGTTGCATTGGAAGTGTTCAATTTCAGTTTTTGTCTTTACTATTTAATATCATAAAATTTACTTTCAATTACACTGCTGTTGATAATAATAAAATGCTGTTGATTATATACACGTGCATCATTTTTTCCATTATATTTGGGTAAACAAATATGCCTTGTAACACAGAATAAACTTATTACTTTTGTGTTTCATTTAAAGGTAAATTTAATTGTTTTGTAAGAAGATATATCGTACCACATGGCATATTAGTTTGCTTTTGATTTGTTGTAAACTTAATTGTTTTGTAAAATATCGCGCCCTAGTTCAGCAAACAGACTACTTTTGTTCTGATTTACCATTCAACTGTTTTGTAAAAATTACGTCCCTGCAACGTAGCACAACATGGTGGGAATGAGTAACTCTTTGACAAGACAAACAAATTTAAACCGTATAACTGACAATTACTACAGTAATTGCTAAACCGTAGATTCTTAAAATAATCTACAGTATATTAAAAAGAATCTACACTTCTTAAAAATGGTGACGTCAAGAAAAAAGTTTGAGTAAAATTAATGCCTGTTCCACATCTGTAAATCTATATATACATGTATAGGAATACGATAAGGATGCCCAAAGAATTCATTGCTGTTCTGAGAAGGTTTAATGCAACGTTTCAAACAGCCAAAGCCGTTCTTCATCAGGCAATGGAAGAAGGAAAAGAACGATAAAGTGGAAATATATATATATATATACAGTTTTTGGCAGGTGACCTTTTTCTACTCAGCAAATCTTTCTATTGCTTACCATTCTTGGTGACATACTTGATGCATTCTTCCTGTAGTGCTTCATCCTCTGCCAATTTATTGATATCTGGCTGTGTGATGTACACATTTGAATACTGTCAAAATAAAACAAACAAAACAGACAAAATAGGATTACCTTTAACCCTAGCTCCGTAGGGGGTGTGCAACATCGTATTAAAATTGGAGGATTCGGGACTGTTGGGGCTATGAAATTATTTCAGCTTTAGATTTCAGTACATTTGTATTGTGTTTTGCCCTTCACCAAATATATTTTTAAAAATGGTATACTAAATGTTAATGTTTATGAGCCTCCCACTAAGTGAGAATGTTTATAGAATGTCCCCAAACTTTTGCAAAAGAAAGCATATTCACAAACTGGGTGATTGGTAATGTGGGGGCAGGATACATGTAGCTCAGCTTGTACATGTAGACTGCCAGTTTAATGTACTTAATAAACAGATTACAACTGAGTCAAAATTTGTGGAATTTGCAAACTCTTCTCTAAAATTAGCAACTTTTTAACCAAGTTTCCTTGCGTTAAAAACCATTGCAAGTTCAGTATATAATATTTCAAACATTTTTGTTCCTGATTAAAAATATTTTTCTTATGAAAAACAATAGTTTGCTTCCAAAAAGTATTTCAATCAGATTATAATTTGTTTATATTGAAAAAAAAAAAAGATAGAAAGTGACAGTCCCTCACCTGGAAAATGGGAACAATTGTGATGACTCCATAGTACCTGGAAAATTAAGCCAATCATATCAAATAAAAGTTAACTGAAGTTGTCCGGATGAGTTGTCAGGTAACTGTCTAAGATTTGCACAAAAAATTAAAAAACAATGGTCAGATAAGATGTGCAGGTTAGCCCGGTGAAGTTGGAAATAATAGTAAGGCCAACAACAACAAAAAAGTTCTGCTTCCGATTACATGGCATTTGAAAGTAGGGTAGGTAGGTAGGGAATTTGGGTTTTTTTGCCAATTTTTTTGTGAACCATCATATGGAGGTGTCTGCGTGTAGTCAAGGGTAAAAAGTAGAAATTGATGGTTTTGGGTGTTTTTTCCTCTCATTTTTCCAATAAAAAATTAGGGTAGGAGCTGTCAGAATAGGGTAGGTAGGGAAACCGGAAGCAGAATTATTATTTTTTGGGGCCCAAGTTTGTGGTTGCTTGAAGGCAGCCTTGGCGATACACAGAAAATCCTGTATCCAAATTCCGAGATTCTGCTCTTAATATCGTACAACCATTTCTTCTTTTTTGAGGGGCAAGATTCAGGTCTTCAAAGACCAATTTATAATTACCGCCATACACTTTCTTGCTGTCATTTTAGCCTTGCCTAGGCCAGACATGGAAACTCATATTTGTCTTTCGGAAAAGGTTCTCATCTTTATTTCAAACCAAGTACTGATAATCTCTACTCCTTTTTAGATTTGTGACTAGAATTGAAGAGAAAAGTAAAACTTTTATGGTTCGCCAGTGAAAATGGTGTGTTTCATCCCGAGTCAGTCTCCACATGACACGAAATGACCCTCATATGAATTGTCCAATTTTCTTTTTTCTGCTGTCTGTTGAAGTCAAAAATTACATGTGGGAAACTCACAACATAGTTTGCAGACATATCTTGACGAGATTGATGTCCACATCGGCCTCGGTAGCGATTCTTTGTACGTGATTGACACCGTCGATGTAGGGTAAGATCTAAAGAGAAAAGGAAATTTGTTAGTTTTCGCAAATTCAATGTGGGTTACAGAAATTAATGATTGAAATTGTTGACCACCAAATGCAGTTTATAGGAAGTACACAAAGTTTCATTGGTTTTGTATGATCAATGCTTTCTGGCAGCTTATCAGGGAACTCTTACATGGGCCTTATGCAAGAGTTGGCCATTGTTGAGTTCCCTGATTGTTTTTCATTACTTTTGTTTTTCATTTCGTAACTGTTGAATGGGATGGCGCCAGACTATTTATGCAGGCATAATGCAGCTTTATTTTACCGTCATTTTTTAATCTGGCTTTAAACATTAGGGAATGTTCAATTACAAATTTTTAATTATTCATTGAAGCAGACTGGAGTTTTATTAGTAATTTACTTGCTTTCATTTCTCTTCGCAAGTTCAAAAATTTAAGATTTTACCTCACTTTCAATTCAATATGGCCTACTCGTGCATAAGGCCCATGAGCTCTCGGGAGAGAAAGTTTGAGGGGCTTGGGTTGACAGCATGACTTGTGCTTACTTTTGAAGATATAGGCCTAATGACCACCGAATAGGTTTATCAGAGTTGAGGCCAGTATACATGTATGCGTGTATAGTCGCAAGACTCAAACAATGTTTGACCATTGAGGGAATAAATGTGTGCTTGGCTGGTTTTAAACACTGTGTTTAAGACCGGTTTGGAATCTGGACGCTGACAATGACCCGAGCTGAAGGTTATTACTCAACAGGATTGTTAGCTTAGTGGGGTTCGCTAATATCCAGTTCGTTAGTAAAAACGTCATACACGCGCGCGTACCCCTGATTACTAGCGCCCTCTGGAAAAATACTTGAGTTGCGTTAGCTTCCAGTTCCATTCGTGCTATGCTACAACGTGTGAAGTACGCATGGTTGAATTGAGATGACGTCACACTAATGAACTGGATAGGCTAGTGCATGATAGGCTAGTGCATCTAACGACATGAACAAGAGAAAGACACACTTCAGATATCTTGCATGTGCAATTTTTGAGTATATTGCCCAGCCAGGCACTATACTCAAAATTATTGACTGGTCATTTAGTGCCTGGTGGAGGTTATCAAGACTTATCTTAACAAGGATCCATCCTGTAAGTGAATTGTAAAACTAACCTGTTGTGTAGTGAGATCCCAGTGGCTGGAATCATAGGCATTGCGGTCTGTCAAGAACATGGGTACATGGTGCTCCAGCACTGCCTGTGGATCTTTGGTTGGGGGTACGATCTTCAAATGGATGGTGTTGGATTCATCTGTAACAGAGCAATATCTCATTTTCTAAAAAGTTTTTTTAGAATTGTATATTGTGGTCTTCAATTTGAAGACCACGAAACAAAATGCAGTGCTTTGTTACGTGGTCTTCAAATTGAAGATTTGACGGGTTGCATGGTGAATCTCTTTTGTGATTTTGTGAGGTTCTGAGAATAAGAGAAGACGTCGGACAGAGAATACTATCCGAACGTTTCCCGCGGTTCTTTTGAGAACCTCACAAACTCACAAAAGAGATTTGTCACATGGCGCTACCGTGAATCTTTATCTTATTGCAATCTTCACAATTCGCAAAAGTCTTTGTTTACTGTGGTTGAAATTGCTGTTTTCTTTTCATGATATTTTTATAAAAATTTGATATCATGACGATTTCACAAAATGATTTTGCAAGAGTTAAACAACGTCAAATTCTGTACTCATAACATCCAACTTTAAAACCCTTCTATTGACTGATCAGTCTAGACAGCCTAAAATTCAATCCACTTCCCCTCCCATAACTTATATACAGGCTAGCCATCAACAGTCAGATCATATTTCCTGTAGGCATTGTGACCAGTCCAATAACATTAACAGACAAAAACAAGTAGTCAGTACAGCTGGCTTATCAATCTCTAATAGTCAAAGTTAACATGTACGTGTAGCTAAATCAAGTTACATAAACAGTCACAGCCAATCAATCCTGATTTCAGTGTTTCCCCTGGCTAATGAACTGAGCGAGGTGGTAACAATTCAAGTTGATGATAGAAACAAAATGTATGCAGTCTGCAAACTGAAAAGAATGCAGCGCTCACAAAAATGCGCGATGATTCCAAAAACACATCAAAATTGTGAGTTCTTGATACATGGAGGTAAAGGAAAATGCTCATATATTACACAAAATGAAAATTTTTCAATTGATATTTCCTTTTTTGCCAATCTTCACAGCGAGGTGGTGATATTGGCAAAAATTGAGCGAGGTGGTCACTGAAAGTAGCGAGGTGGGCCACCTCACGTTTGAATGGGCAGGGGAAATACTGCCTGATTTATATAGAGCAGAAAGCACTCTGCATTAAAGCACTCAACTGGGAGGCATGGGTGGCTAGTGCGTAAAGCACTTGCCTCTCACCACTGTAGCACGGGTTCGATTCCCGGCTCGGACCATATGTGAGTAGAGTTGTGCGTTGATTCTCTCCTGCGCCACGAGGGTTTTTCTCTGAGCTCTCTGGTATTCCTCCTTACTTCAGAAAATCAACACTTTCGATCACTGGCCATGCTCTGTGGTCATACATGGGTCGCATGGTGGCTGTCAAAGGCACCTTTACATGCTTTCAGCTCGAACACGCTGTAGCTGCGTCCTTCGCAATTCAGGTTCTCAGCTGCCAATAAGGATGATAAGCCCCCCCCCCCACCAACTGTTAAAAACAGTCACTTGATTGATTTTGACGGCTGAGATGGCTTTATTGCGTTTGCCAGCCAGAGCGGGAGGGCATTATAATCTTTCCTTTGACAAGCAGCATGCCTTTTTCACACTTACTGATTGGAATAGAACATTTCCCGTGACTGTTGAGTTGCGACAGAAGATCAGAGAGGATGCTGGGAAGACGTTCCTTGCTCTCATCGTTGGACAAAAAGCCACTCTCCAACTGTACAAAATCAAAACTAAATTCAATCCAACGAAATCAAAGCCCAATGTGAAATTTAAATACTGGGTTAAAAGGTAATATACAATATTTGCTTTTGCTGTAAGTTTTAGAAATGGATGGATTTGGGGGTTAAATAATGAAAGGTTTGTGGAAACACCATGTGCGAATAATTTCTCAACTTAGTGAATGGTTCTGAAGAGAAGCAGGGGTATAAACGCGACGTTCTGGTCAGTATGCTCTGACCGTCTTCAGGAGTATATTTTCTGAGAAACACAACGTGTTGGGGGTTTGGGGGTTAATATTGTATAGCAACATTGTTACACTGACCTGTTAAAAACTTTGTGTTCATATATACTGGAATAACCAAGGGAAAAAAATGCTGTTCTTGTACCGGTAGTCTGGTTTCCTGACCCAACATTGTACTTCAGACAAAACAGAGTGCTCAATGTATAGATGTCGAGGAATTGTCAGGTCAGGGAAACCAGACTAGCAGGCTTGCACCCATTTATAGATGTGAAACCGATTGCAAAAAAAAATGTGGACTAACTGAATTTAATAAGTCGGGGGCAGTATTTGGAAAAAATATTTTTTTTCCCAATGATGGTCGGCTGACCAAAAAGCAAACGACCCTCCCCCCAATTGTGTTTGCCATTTTTCAAAAAGCTTATGCACTCACCTCCAACGTTAAGAGGTAGTTTGCGAGTTTCTTCACCAGTGGTTCATAAGGTGCTGTGTCCGTCGATGCATTACAGACAAAGCACAAGTTGAACAGCAGGGCGTTGCGGGAATACTTGTCATTTTGAATGTTGACTGGGCAGCCTATAATCTTGCGGCCAAGAGCATTTCTGTACAATTGAATGATTTGAATCTTTTACAAAGTGGTGTTTGGAATATGTTTCCTTAAGATTCCAAGGGGGAAAAAAGAGAGAAAACAGAAGAAATTTTGATTTATCCACCCCTATACTTCTCTGCGATTCCAAACGGTGATTCCATACATATTTGCGTTGGGTTTAGAGTTAAAATATCTTTCATCGTTGGGATTTTTGTTTTGTCTTTGATGGCAAATGGGGGAATGTACTAAGAAACATTGTTTAAAGCTACAGTCCATCATTTGGAGCTATCCAAAAAGTAACTGACGTAATTAGTGTTGAAAAACATACTAAGGGGACTAAACTCCCTGTGAAATTATTCTTTCTGGCATGCTGTTCTTTTGAAGAAATCAACGAAAGAAGGCCTTTCCATCTTTGCATCTAAAGACGCACCGTTGGAAATTTCCGTTAGTAGTTTGTTTTTTATTTGGCGAAGCGCGCGCAAGCATTGACACGACGCACACGTGACATCGCGTAGCTGCAATCGGCTAGTGAGAACGTGTCTCGGACACTGAATTCAGGCCCAATTCAAAACATGATTCAGCAACTTTTGATTTGAAATCGAGATCCTAGAATGTTGTTTTTCTCTGCGCTGAAACTTCATCAGGTTAGTTGTTCAGGACCCTTCTTTAGATTTAGAGCACTTTTGTTGCTTCAAACGAACAAAATGAACAAATTACAAACGATGGACTGTACCTTTAAATTGAAATTAAGGGCCCTGTCTCAATTTATATCCAGGACGAGTTCCGGAAAACTTGAGGGTAGAATCATTCACTTTGTCTGGAAGAAGCTCCGCATTTGTCCTGGACATGTTCCAAGGAAATTTTCATTAGCAACTGCTTCACTCACCAATTCTGACAAATTCATTCCAGGAAGATTGTGAGGAAGTTGTTCAGAATCTTGCAACTTATACCTGATACAGTGTCCGCAACTTGTCCAGAACTCGTCCCGGATATGAATTGAGACGAGCTCTGACTTTACCTTAATTTAAAGTCTTTTCAACATTGTCAAATCCTTGGATTGGAGCTAGAAGAACTGATATTACAAGGGGGAACCGATATTCAATAGGGCAGTATTTATAAATAGCCTGTGGACAACACTAAAAGGACTTGACATCGAGTCTACATTATTATTACCAAGGCACTATAATGTGAAAACTGCATTTGTGATGCGTTCAAGCTAAATGAGTCGTTTGTAAGGAATTTTTATTTGGAAATACAGGCCAAAATAGGGCCACTTCATCACATCACTTCATCACATCTCTTGGTGTTCCAACTTCCATAATTTTTGAACTAAAGATGGTATCAGCATGGGGTTTCCACAGCAGTATTGCTGAGATTGTGCTTTTTTTCAAATCTGTAATAAAAATATTTTTGACCAGGGGCGACAACCGACTCATTTTATAGCTTGATCGCATCACATTTGATGTGCAGAATTGCAATTTTGAACATCATTTCCAATGTTGTTGCGGGGGGAAGGGGGAGGGTGTGAATAAACATTTCCAGAATATAAGTTCCTTTTTTCGGCTAAATTTTCCGAGGCCCCTTTCCCTTTCTACTGGTACTCACATTGTAATCAATCTGTTCTGTAATTCTGGTTTGGTGATGATGTAGACATGCAACGTGTCAAACAGCTCTCGCGATACATAGTCTTCCGGTACCTATGAAATGCAACCATTTCAAGTAAAGTAAAAAATTCACAAAGTGCACAGAGCTAAGTCAATTACTCATGACATGAATATTAATATTATCAATCATGATTATGACCCTGCCAATATTGGCCAATCAGAATCAAGAATTCAGGCTCGCGCCTCCAGCACTGACCAATCAGAATTGCTCCTCTGGGCCTGATGACTGGTACCTGTGGAAATACATTTCAATATTGTTTCTTCAATCTTTGTTTATATCTAATGACTTGTTTAAAAACTGACTTCTATTGGTAAAACTACCAGAGTTGTAATGACTCGAGTCACAAATATTGGTGACTTGACTCGACTCGAGTCCCTATGGGTAAATGACTTGACTCGACTCGAGACACTTCGAGCAAATGACTCGACTCGACTCGAGTCCCTCATCAGTTGACTCGACTCGACTCGAGCGAAGGCTAATAAGACTCGAGTCCCAAAAATGAAAGCAAAACTTTGCAAAAAGTATTTGCAATGACTTAACGTGCAAAATTTATGCTCACTTCGCTTTACGAATAACACTCTTGTACAAATATACAATGTGTCACAGACTCCCACCTCATGATTCTAGAACGCACAAAATACTATCCAGGAACCAGATTTTTAAACACATTTTCTAATTCGCTGTTTCATCATTGGCTTTGGGGGATTTCTTATTAAAGCTCTTGGATTGGAACGCTGGCTAAACTTATGGCCTCCTTTTATAAATTTTGGTACATAGTGTTCAAATATTCGTGACTCAAAGTGACTCGAACTAAATATTTGACTCGACTCGACTCGACCTTTTGGCCTAATGACTCAACTCGACCTGAGTCACTTCTTTAAAATGACTCGACTCGACTTAAGTCACTTCTTTAAAATGACTCGACTCGAGTCGCAAAAATCAGTGACTCGTTACAACTCTGAAAACTACTAGTTTTAATCAGTCCCACAATGGCCACAGGCACAGCGACAGCCCACTGTGGTTTAAGTCCAAGAGATTCGGATCCTTGCAAGAACTTCAAGGAAGTTAAGCACATAGACCAGGGGGATTGCCCCCCCCCCCCTTTCTAACAAGGTTACGATTTTGCTCCCTCGCCCCCCCCCCCCCCCCCCCTTTCAGGCCCAGCTATTTAAACCAAACAAGGATTCATCATCAAGTTCTGTACATTTACAGAATGCCGGGTATGCTTCGTACACACCAAACATTCGAGCATACGTGTATATATAGACCTGTAAATGTGGATATTAACATAGCCACGCTCCGTTCATCCCTCTGAATTTTCGAAATTTCTAACATTCGCATTGATGTGGGCTACCTTGAATTTCTTTGGAATGACAATCCTACACCACTGGAGTTCTTGGATAAACTCTTATGTAAGAACAGACACTAGTGCTCGTTTAAATTTCAGTCCAGAGATTATGAACGAAGCATGGGTACACTATAGCCACATTTACGAGCACAATCAATATGCGTGCTACAAATTATATCAATGTTTTTGTCTACTCTTTACCTTAAAGGGACACTGCGTCCTGGAACTAGACCCGTGAACGTGGCGTTGTATACAACGCCACGTGCTTCCCTCGGGTAAATACAAGCGAAAGCATTCTATCTTTTGATCCGCTACATAAAACCATGTATAATTTTGCCCATGGGTGAATCACTTACTTGTTGGGCTTCCTGTGAATATACGTGAGTGTTGGATCTGTCATTGCCAAGAAATTTGATGTAAAACACGGCACAACTTTGTCACAACGAATGTTTCAAAATGATCAGAAATCTAAGACAAGGCATGACACTCTGGTACCCCGAGTTCCGCATGTGCAAAACGGTTGGAGTAGCGCCAGTGGGTACCCGACTAACCGTCTTACATGGCAGGCTGACTGTAATACCATATAAAATTCTGCTAAATCCACTTCGAAAGTCTGTCAAATCACCCAGTAGAATTGCTGGTCCATTGTGCAAGGGTTTGTTTCAGGGATCTTTCAATAAATGAAGGTTTTTCGAACCAAATGTGCCATATTTCTCTAATCTTTTTCATTTTTCCTTCATCTTCATAATTCTGCCGAAAAAAATATTCTGCTGATTTTCTGTACAACTAATTTTTGTATGCAAATATTCTGTCAAATGTAGCCGAAATTCGGCTAGAACGGTCACTCCATCTTAGTAATTGGGATCACAATAGAGTGTTTTTACTATAGACTGAAGCGTGGCTATGTATATAGCCACGTTCACGGGTCTATCCTGGAACAGCCCAATTGGGCTTCAAAATGCGCTTTGAACGAGATGATATTTAAAAGTAGGATATAAACATCCACACTTCATCCTTTAAAAACTGGGCGTTTTTGTGTTATTCCTGTATTATGCGTGCAAAAACGACTTTCGGGGTCCTTTTGTTTAGGTGCTAGTTGTGATTTCATCCCTTAAGTGTTTGCTTTTTGCGGACGTGTAAGAAACCGCATTTTGTGCATTGGTGATTGGTCAACGCTGTTCGCGACCAGATTGACATACACAACGTGTATATCGTTCATTGACTGAACGACAGGAAAAGCGTATCTGTACTCCGTCGTGACTGTTGTAAACAACCAGGTTTTCCGTCTTCTCTCCGGAATGGTAGGCCTACTTGTACTAAGTTTCGATCCTTTCAACCAGTTCTTTGAAATAGGATAAGTAAACAATCCAAACATGCCAAAACATGACATTTTCGGGGATTTCAGGACCTAGTCATAAATTGCTAGTGCCCCTTCAATGCCATGGTTTCGTCATGTTCGTGTACGTGTAACATTCACCCCCACCCCCCCCCCCAAAAAAAAAACAATAAAAATGGCGCTGCAGCATATCCCCCCCCCCCCCCCCCCGGTCCCCCAACTTTCAAAACTGTTCCGCCACCACTGAACTTGAAGTGAAAGGGGACGTGTATTTTTTGTGTAAGAAGCTACATGTACATGTACGTAAGCCTCATACTTACCTGATAAGTTATTTTATGACCTGCTGTGGGGTGAAATTCACTGAAGAAAATGCACTCTAACTTCCCGGGGTCCATCGCAAAATTGTAAATAAGCAAAACTAACGTATGTTTTCCCTCCAAAGCATCTGTAGCAAACAGTACCATTGCGTCTAGGTACCAGACCATTTATGCCAAAACCTCTTGGTGGCGCTATTTCACGATATGGAGGCGGATGAAACCGCTGATGCAGCAAAACCGGACCATTTGAAGCCCATTTTGAAGGGGAAAAAGGGGTGTTTACAGCGACTCTGCGCATTTTTCAGTATGGCTGCACACATACTAGCCATTCTGTTCGTCTCGTACATGATATATTTGGCTTGGCCTTTTTCAAGTAAGAGTTTTATGTTATTTCATAAAAATAAGTTTCTTTGCTTAGTCTGACTTACATTGGGAATCGTGTAGTGTAGGGCCCTAGCTTGAGTAACTCCAGCTGACATGCTCCTAGCCCCATAAATGTGGCCTATTTACTGGACTGCCTCCGTAAACATAGGCCACACATCCACATGTACAAAAATCGTGTCGACGGAGCCAAATTTAGATTTTCACATTTAGGCTTAGTTTGTAGGGTTTTTTTGCTTTAGAAGCATACTCACCCTCTTTACAGGCTAATCAGAAAGTGCTGCCTTTTTCAGATGTCTAATTTTTGTGAAATTTCATGTTGAAATTTTGATACGCAAACGTGTAAAAATGAATCTGGAAATTTCAAAAAAAATATACATCTGAAAAAGGCAGCACTTTCTGATTAGCCTATAAAGAGGGTGAGTATGCTTCTAAAGCAAAAAAAACCTACAAACTAAGCCTAAATGTGAAAATCAAAATTTGGCTCCGTCGACACGATTTTTGTACATGTGGATGTGTGGCCTATGTTTACGGAGGCAGTCCAGTAAATAGGCCACATTTATGGGGCTAACATGCTCCATATTCATTCACATGTGAATGAATATGGAGCCACATGTGAATGAATATGGAGCATGTCAGCTGGAGTTACTCAAGCTAGTAGGGCCCCTGTTTTGTTTTGAACAAATAAGAGTCAAAAATGTTTTTTATTGCTCAAAAATCACGTTTACCTGTTTACAATCTAAAGAAGACTTTTCTCAATTCCAATGACACCCGTTTTGCAATTTTGAACAGTTTCTTGATGTAGAAATCACGATTTTCCTGCGCGGTTTTAGCTTGAGTAACTCCAGCTGACATGCTCATATTCATTCACATATGAGCATGTCAGCTGGAGTTACTCAAGATAGCATGGTTTGTGCCTTGTGATTCAGCGCGTCGTGCGCGCTCACGGTACATCGTGCGGTGATCGCCATCTTTATTTTCGGGTTGCGTGTTGTCGCCGCGCTGTCATCGAGAATGACGCCAACTAGTTTGGTCGGTCTAATAAGTTTAAAGTGGATTTTGTTCCCTTATACAAGTTATAGGAACGAGGCCCTACACTACACGATCGCCCTTACATTTGTCGCCCCATAAATGTGGTCAATTTACTGGACTACAGGGCACCACACTTGGAACATGTAGGCTGCCCGAAAATGTAGAACTTTTGTAAAATTTTGATTTTCACATTTAGACTATATTTTAGACGAATTACTTGCATAGAATGCCACTTTCTCAAACAAAAATCTCCCCAAACAGCTGCCCTGGTTCATCACCCCCCCCCCCCTCCCTGTAGAAAATAACCCCTTGCCTTGACCAACTGAGTGATAGGACAAAATACCTATATTTTTAACATGTACAGTCAAACACCTTCATAACAAGGTCCTTGGGACTTTACCAATTAAGAGTCTGATATTATCAGAAATGGAAAAGAAAGGAATACAAGGAAAAACAAAAACTCTGGGCCTCAGGCCAAAAAAAAAAATAAGTCGGTCTCTGGTCAGCGCGCGCTTCGATTTTAATCATGCGCGTCGATCTTTTTTTTCCAAAATGTGCCGCGGTAGCTCCAACAGTGCCCTCTATTTCCGCACCTCCTCATTTTTTTTTTACCAAAGAGCACCAAGGAATGGGAAATTGCGCCAAGGCAAATGATCGAAAGCACCAAGGCAAATTATAGAGGACACTAATGTACATGAGGACACCAAAAAAGCAAAATAGTACCCACCTTGTCTGTACAATCCAAGCTTGGAAGAAAAAAAAAAAAAGCAAAAAAAAAAAAAAAGCCGCGTGGCCGCGTCAATTCCGGAACTTTGGTCTGACCAGAGACCGAACATTTTTTTTTTTTGGCCTAATATTTCTTATCAGTGTTAGATTGTATTGTTTAACTATTGATTTATAATAAAATGCTGGATATAATTTCTTTCTTACCTATTTCAGGCCTCTTTTCATGGCATCCAGTGCTGATGTCTATTGCTGTAAGTCTCGTTTTATATTTGCCTATTTTGTTTTGTGGTTTATTGCATTGTGAAAAGGGACAAATTGACACTAATAACAATAATGATGCTGTTGTGCTCCAACTATAGCAATTGCCCCAACTATAGCAATTGCCCCAACTCAGCAGGACTCAAATTTCATGAAAAAAAGCACTAGACAGCAGGTCTAGTAACTGAAGAATCTTACTGGACCTGAATATTTTTACAAGACCTGTTTATATAGGGCTCGCGCACTCGCTGTTTGCTGCCGGTGATCACTTTGTGTACAAAACGAATGCGCGCAACATACACACGCCCGGTGTCGTGCCAAAAACCGTCCGGTGCCAAATAGTGTCCGCTAATTAGCATAATGCGCTCTGATTGGCCATGCGCCCATGACGTCACATTGTTTACGGAAGCTTGCCAAATAGTGTCCGCGCTTAGCGTGCATCATATTGCGTGCCTTGCTGTTACAAGCTGTCAAGACGTCGTATAGATAAGATTTATTTCACCTGAATTTGCTTTTTACAATCTGTTTTAACGTTTTCCTTGTTATCTGTGATAACTATTTACTTGGTTTCCCTAATAGTTTAAACAAAATTATATTTGTGCAAAATGTTTGTGTTTTTTTCGCGTCAGTTCACCTGTTTGGCGTGCAGTGCAGTACGCACGATTTTTCCTGCCAAAAACTGTCCGATCCCCCCTGCCAAAATAATATTGTCCAATTTTCCTATACTGTCCGATTTTTCCTGCTAAATACTATCTGATTCCCCCCTGCCAAATACTGTCCGATTTCCCTGCGAAAAAAATATCCGATTTCTCCTGCTAAATACTGTCCAATTCCCCCTGCCAAATATTGTCTGATTCCCCCTGCCACTGAATATTGTCCGATTTTCCTGCCAAATACTGTCCGATTTTTCCTGCTAAATACTATCCAATTCCCCCTGCCAAATATCATTGTCCGATTCACCCTGCCACTGAATATTGTCTGATTTTTCTGCAAAATACTGTACGTCCAATTTTTCCCGGCTGCAAAATACTGTCCGATTTTTCCTGCAAAATACTGTCCGACCCCCTGCCAAATACTGTCCGATTTTCCCTGCTAAATACTATCCGATTCCCCCTGCCAAATAGTGTCGGCGATTCCCCCTTGCAAAACACTGTCCGATTTTCCCTACAAACAAAATTGTCCGATTTTTCCTGCCAAATAAGTGTCCGGCAGGACGTACGTGCGCCCTTGTGTTGGAACGACGGCGCCCGGACACTATTTGGCATCGGGCACTATTTGGCATGTATTACATGCCAAATAGTGTCTGGCGCCCACTGCGCATGCTCAGCGGACACTATTTGGCACCGGACGGTTTTTGGCACGACACCGGTGATTTTGTTTCAAAAAGTCGGATGTTTTCATTCCCCATTTATAAGTTAAAATTTTGAAATATTCCTCGTAATTTATGATGATAGTTCAATGATGTAATAAACTTACATATTTTCCTATTGTGATTGTGATTTGAGTCGAAATTACTCTTGTTTTTGCTGTTTGAAAAGTCTCATTTTAACTCCGAGTACGAAAAATGCTGCGCGCATGACATGTTACGTTCACGGGCCATGCGGCGCGCACAGACCGGTCCATGCGTTCAAGATCCACGGCAAGAATTGTCTGCCCTGGTGACTGTGTTTAACTCGGTCTTGACAGTAGTGTAGCATAGCAGACGTCAAGAAACCATACGTCAGTCGAAAGCTTATTGAAAATGCCATTCAACCATCCACGTTCCATGATAATCGGCCTACGCGTTGCAAAGTTACGATTCTTTTTGTTTTTCCCAAAACTTTTTCATCACGGAATACATTGAAAATAATAATGGAACCTTGAAAATTGTAATTAGTGATATCGAAGCTTGAAATGCTTTTTTTAAAACCTTCAAAATATGATTGTATTTTAGAGTTATAGACACATTTGTGTCGCGATGTATTTTCATCATGGCGCCTTCTGTTTGACAGCGCGCGTCGTGTAAGCATCACTGTTTCGTTCCCGGCACGCAATAATGTAAATGCAACAGAAAATTATCACGTTTGAGATCGAGTGCAGCCAAAACATTGTCACATGATGCGTCGCGTAATGCATATTCTACACTGGTTCCCTTCATGGCCCGTACGGTCAGAATATGTCAGTGGATACCAGTGTAAGTTCTTCGTTTTCGGAAACCGTCCAGACTCCATCGCACGCGGTGTAAACAAAATGGAACTCGGAGTGTTTTTGCTACCGCAGTACCGGCGATCATTTCACTTTTTGCCCACATCGTAGTTCCTCAATCTTAATAATCGATCTCTCCTTGTATCTCAGGTAGCATATCTAATAACTTTGTGGCCGTTTTTGAGAGTGAAATCTGATGTTTTTACAGTTTGTTGGATGGCTATAGCATGTACGATTTTTGTGTACAAATGTGATGGGCACTGATGTAACGTTGGGCCATTGGAATTACGCAGGAAAATCATTACGCACAGCGCATACTTTTTTTTTACTAATACTAGGCTTATGAGATTTGCACCAAAATGGGATAAAATAACCCAAATATGAGAGAAACTTCGTTTTATAACCTAAATGGGATACCCAAGTTTTATATCTTTGTTTAAATTTTTGTTAAATTTGGGGATTTTGGGCATTGAGAATTGGACTTCGGCTTGGGCCAGTTTACACGTTTACGCATGCCAGACTGAAATTTCTCCATTTTGGCCAAAAATTAGCAAAAAAAGTAGGGTTTTTTTTAGATTTTAGATTTTTGTGTGGTCTTTTTTGGGTCCACATGCTGTATCTACACACAATCCTTGTGTCATCCAAATTTGGTGAAAATATGTTCTAGTGAATGGAAGTTTTGTTACTTTTAGTGCTTTTTGGGTAGGACTTAGTCATTTTTCAACCTTGCCGTTCATGATTTTTAGTGTAAAAGTACATTTTTAACATTCATTTTATTGCATATCAAGTTTTTTATCAACTCAAAACCAACTGAAACCAATAGTATTTGTGATAAACAATGGACAAAAACAAGTTAAAGTTTACCAAAGTGTTTATTTACACCATAACAGATGTTCAAATATGCCTTTTTATTCAATTTCACAAAAATACACCATTTTCGTACACATTTCCTATACAAAATAACGTCATTTGATCGACGTATATTTGGTCATAACTTTGGATTGCATGGGTCAATTTTTGCAATTTTACCATCATTTGTTTTCTTTTTGGGTGGGCTTTACAATGAAAGCAATCTCTTAAACAAATACAACCATTTAAAAAAAAGTTCACTAGCCCTAGTAATAAATAAGAAAAAAAAAACCATCATTTTGTACTTCATGTATGTGACAGGAATACAACAAAATGCTATTTACACATCACCCGTTTCGTGTGCACTTGGCTAGTTCCCCTGAAAAATTAGTCTTTCATTTAAAGAAAATCCAGGAGAGCTATAAATCGCTCTCCTCAAATCTTTGAGGAGAGCAAATGGATTTTAAGCGATTTGCTCTCCTTAGAGCGATTTGCTCTCCTTAAAATCCACGGATAAACAGCGTTGAAACGACGGTAAACATTGTTTTGGTTTTGTTTTGAATATCAGGATTTATTCAAGGGGCTGCATGTTTATTAGTTTTTGCATAATAATATGCTCAATTGGCGTAACTTCCTTCGTTTTTGTAACTGTAAGACAAGGTAAAATTCATATAAAAACTACCTAAATGTAGATTAATCTGTTCCTTTGATGGCATCACATCAGAGATAATGAGCTCATGAATATGGAAATTTGCATTTATCTGCACCATTGCTAACATCTGTCTGAATATAAATATTTATATTTAAGCTTAAATACTAAATTTTCTAAACACTAGATTGCACCCAAATTCAGGAATAAGATATCCTTGTTATATAGGAAATCTCATTGCAATTGATGTGGAGTGTATTGGCCTCGTGGTCTGGAGCATTGAATTCATGGTCTGCGGGCAGAGATAGTGTGATTGATTTTAGCTGATTTGCACCGAAATTGCAGCATCAAGCTGTATACTTCCCAGGGAGCTGAGATGGTATTTGGAATGTTTCATTGCCCAGTGAGCTGGGTAATAATGATGAAGCGCTTTAAAGATATAGTTCATCATTTGTAATTTGTGCATTTGGTTTTTTTGAAGCAACAAAAGTGCTCAAAATCTAATGAAGGATACTGAACAACTAACCTGATGAAGTTTCAGCTCAGCTTCAGCTGTATATTCCGAGAAAAACAGCATTCTATTTCTAGGATCTCAATTTCAAATCAAAAGTTGCTGAATCATGTTTTGAATTGTTTTGAATTGCAGCTATACGCGCTGTCGCGCACTGATCCGACGAATTATAGCAACCGCGCGCGCCTGTGCGTCGTGCCAATGCTTGCGCGCGCTGAGCCGAAAAACAAACAAACTACTAATTTAAATTTTCCTACGGTGTGTCTTAAGATGCACCGTTGGAAAGGCCTTCTTTCGTTGATTACTTCAAAATGATAGCTAGCCAGAAAGATTAATTTCACAGGGAGTTTAGTCCACTTACTATCTTTCAACCAAGTATGTTTTTTAACAATAATTCACCAGTTACTTTTTCGGATGGCTGCAAATGATGGACTATAGCTTTAAGCACCGATACTGGTGGATATGTGTGCTAAGTTATAAATACACATTGTTATTAACTACACTTCATGAATTTAGCTTGAGATGCAATCATGCATTGTACAGAGAATCTGAGCCCGAAAGTTCCTGGGCCCTTGGACTGCCCCTAACCACCCTGCCTGCTATTCCCTGTGCCTGGAACTGTCTCAACACTGTATAGTTTTATGGATTAAGCAGGGAATAAACACAATGAAGTACAAATGCTAATGGCTAATTGAGTGTATATATTCTATTTTGATTTGCAACAGTTTGTGTTTCTGATGACCGAGGCCATCCTGTTTTTCTCACCGGATAGCAACCTCGTCCCTAAAGCCAGTCGCAAGACCAAGCTCACCTACCACTGGATCATCAACACCACAGCATTGCTGTGTGCCCTGGCCGGGCTGGCCATCATGGTGATCAATAAGGAGCGGTACGGCAAATCCCACTTCACCAGCTGGCACGGGCTGTGTGGCGTCTGCACCGTTGCTTACACCTGTCTTCAGGCAACTGCCGGGTCTACCCTCATGTTCCCCAAACTGACCGCCAGCCTGGTCAAGCTTGCCGATCTGAAGCTCTACCATGCCACCTCGGGCCTGGTGCTCTTCACGCTGGCTTGCACCACGCTGGTGCTGGGGCTGTTCACAGATTGGTTCTGGAACACCGCCCATGGCTCAGTCTGGTATTTCTGCATTGCCACAGTCGCCTGGCTGTCCCTAGTCATTATGAATCAGATCACTCAAGCCTACCTGCCTAAATCATTCAAGAAGCCTTCTCAGCAGTACTGAGCTGACAGTAGTCTTGGTCCCAGACTGGCATTTGGGTTTTATTCCCCACATACAGCCAGTCCTTGACAATGGCGTTTAAGCCGCCGTGGCGTAGACATCTCTATCAACAAAATGATTCAAGCTAGTCTGAGGGACTTTGACAGCGCTACCCAGGATATTCCAAGCAAACCTCACGCGCGTGCATTAGCTTGCATACAGTGCCCGTACTGTATGCTCACAAGTTTTGGGGTAGCACTGCCAAAGTTCCCAAGACTTGCTTCATCTTGTTGATAGCAACCTCCACCGGCTTTAGTGCGCTTCTTAGGGGCTGGCTGTAGTAGTAATAAATTTAAAATCCAGTCTTTGGCAAAGACTAAGCAGACAGAAAGGCAACTCGTGTTAGAGCCCATCATGTTTTGGGGTCACCATAGTCACTGATTGAAATCATAAGTTTTGTTTCAACCATAAACTCCTGTGAGGAAAAAAAACAACTCACTCTGACATGTGTGTCTTGTAAAGGATTTCTTTGAAAACTTAGATGATTTTGCTTTAAAGTTTAAACAAAGCTGCCCAAAGCTGCACACAATGCTTGAAATTGAAAATGATTCATATGTCTTTTTATGCACAGGGTAGGGTTTTTAGCTGCGGGATAGGAGGTCAACAAATCCTCATGTCCCTCTGTTAGTTAGTATAAACAAACGTTGACATTGTCTATTGCTCCTACATATTTTGACCGATTTCAACCAAACTTTGTCAAAAGTATCAGTAGCCAAGCCCCAACATGTCACATGACCAAACTGGGGTCAAAGGTCATCATTGGGTCACTGGGTCAAAATCCTGAATTCTTAACTCAAAACACTACTCCTAGCTTCCAGAAATTACATGGCCGAATCACGTGATTCATGCATGAACACGCATTCGTTGGCCTGCAGCTTCCGAGATCCGATCGAGCTTGTTTTTTTTTCTCCAAAAATGCAGAATTCCATTTTCGCAAGTTGAATTCCAGTGAAGGTTAAAACTCAGTGGCCCTCTATTTTCTCGGGTATCCAGACAATTTTTCAGGCCGAAATTTGAACAGTTTTTGTCAGTGTTTTCTAATGCATATTGTAAATGGCATTCACTTTGGGTGCTGGATATGCTCCATTGTTTCATCAAAATGAAACAAAGATAACCTCTAAAATGAAAGCACTTGATCAAACAAAAACAACCAACTGGCTGACAAGTCGCTTTCTGTAAAAAGCCTGAGGATATCTTTTAAATATGCTTTTACACAGTCATTTGCAGGTACACACACTGTACACTGCTCTTTAATCTAATCTGAATCAAGGTTGTGTACAGCTTTTTGACTTGCTAGTTATAATGCATTGTACATGTATTGCCAAACTATTATTTAATTTAATGAACTGTTCATGATCGAAACATGTACATGTATGTTATTGTCCAAATAAGTCAATGTAAGCTCCAAATTAACGTTTAAGTTGTCTGAATAAGTGCTGGTAAACAGTTTAAAGGTAATATTTAACAATTACAGTCGACTCTCGTTAGTACAAACTCTGTTAATACAAAATTCTGGTTATAACAAACATAAAGCCTTGGTCCCGACTGTGCATTTATATGCACAATGAATGGGACTGATGTTCCTCTTAATACAAAATTCTGATATAACAAACAATTTGGCTAGGCCTAGGTCCGAACGAGTTTGTTATAACGAGACTCGACTGTACATGTATTGCCAAACTATGTGTGTTATTGTCCAAGTAAGTCAATGTAAGCTCCAACTTAACGTTTAAGTTGTCTGAATAAGTGCTGGTAAACAGTTTAAAGGTAATATTTAACAATTATTGACTGCTATGCTTTGGGATATGACGTTTTAACACCCGAGGGGCACATGGGTGCTATGCGCCCCTCCGTTGTTAAAACGTAATATCCCACATCACAGCAGTCAACAATTGTTTTGTTATATCATGCCAATAACTCAACAAGATAAATTATTGTAACTTACTATGTGAGAAACAAATAAAATCACTGCGATGTAATCTTTGAATAACTGAAGATTTTGATGTGCTGCTGGACATGAGACTGAGCATTTGATGTTGCAGTTCTCATTGCGCAAAGCTAGCGCACCGGCAGGCTCCACATGTGCGCGCAGTGCTCGCAATGAACGCAATGAACGCAGTGCGATATCACCCTCAGTGTGTGACATGCATTTTTATTGTCCAGACACATGCTGTCCTAGACCAATGAAATTACAGTATCCAAGCACACGATATAGCAAACAAAATTTGCAAACATCAACAAACTAAAATTACCAAATTATTACGAAATGCCTGACTAATTGTAAGTGAATAATAGTCTCAATCATCCTTTGAAATTATGGCACCTGGTGTGCTGATGTTTTCAAGAAAAGTGGAATTTTTGTATCAGTTTCCACTGATGGTCGGCCGACCATCATTGGGAAAAAAACTGACTTTTTCCAAATACTGCCCCCAATTTACCAAATTTAGTTACTCCACATTTTGTTTGCAATCAGTCAGACATCCAAGCCAGCTAGTCTGGTTCCATGACCTGACAATTCACAGGCATCTATAAATCAAAGTACAAGAACAACTTTTTTTTGTCTTGGTTCTATGAACACAAAACTTTAAACAGGTCAGTGTAACAATATTTGCTATAAAATACTATCCCCCAAATCCATCCATTCCTAAAAATTACAACAAAAGGAAATGGTGTACATTGTATTTTACATGAACCTTTAAATCATGTAAATATCAATCTATCTAAAATGTTTGATTTGTCCTGTGATTTGTCTTTAAATAAGCCCCTGAAATATTGAAAAAGTAAAACGGATTGAAAGGATGATTTAAAGTCAGTAAAACTGACAGAGTGACTTTGTATTAGAACTTCTGTTTTTTATTAAACTGCTTCCCTCTATGTTTGTTACTTTTGTCAAAATAATGAATAAACTAGAAAGTTCAGTTAAAACAAGATCTTTACTTTAAAATAAAAACAGATAAAAAATTGAACAAAGAACAAAGATTAACTTAGTTTGCAATTATGAATTATTCTTTTATTTTTAAAAGTGAGTTTTCACCGAGTATTTCAGTCAGAATTTTCACCGAGGAAGAGGGTAATTATTTTTATGTACATTTAAAATGTTATGAATTGGAAAATGTATTTAAGAACTAAAAACTGCAGAAAATAGTTCGATATCTAATGGTCCACTACACACTGCTAAATGTAGAATTTTGATAGTGACGTAAAATTGCGCAATATGTTTAAAAGTGTTTTTGGGCTCGATATTCCTAACTTTAATTTGGAGAAATAGATAAACATCGTGGACTAATCAGGTGTTTTTTTAGTGTTAGCTGGCAACATTTACATGTAAGTGTAGAAGAATTAAGACAACTGTACAAGTTTATGACATTGAAGTTTTCAGACGTTTACAAAAATAATGTGCATGAACATGTACATGTACTGAAAAATATGTTACAGTTACAACAATACTTGTACATTGCAAGAAACTCCTGCCATTGCGTCAGACGTTCAACTTCGCTCCGGAAGTTCAATTATTTCCTCAAACGTTATTTCGAAACCGGCTGGCTGTTGAACTTTGCCATGTTTTCTAACTTCTATCCAGAATTGTTTTTATACTTCCTTTGTATTCACCATATTTATCTCCGACATGATCCGGTACATAAGAGAAATGTTTGTTCGTCTTTTGCACGTTAAAGGTGCGCTACCCGTGCTATTAGTTGTCCGTTTCACCCCGGATTGACGGAGTACTCAGGGTTTACATGCCCCCCCCCCCTCCCAATCAACATTTAGAGATCGACAATGCAGGCCCGCCAGGGCGAACCAGTCTACAGTGTACAGTCGAACACCTTTATCACAAGGTCCTTACAAACTTGACAAATTAGCTTGTTACAACAGGTACCTTGCATTAACAGTAAAGAAACACAAAGACTTGGGACCTAAAATGTTAACAGTGCTCTTATTATCAGGGTTCGACTGTGCGCAAAAGCAGCCTAAAATATGGGTTTTTTTCGGGTTTCAGTTCCCCAAAACAGAAAAACAGGTAGTGTTTACTTAAAATAAAACATAAATAATTTGTTGGATATAAATTATTTTACGAAGTCTGCCGTTCGTTTCTGCTCAAATTCACCCCAATTTATCTGACTTTTTACATGTCAGATGGAGTGTAACTTATGTGGATAAAGTGTATAATGCATGGACTGTTTCACCGATACTGCCATCTCATTGTGGTCGCTCGGTAATATCTGGGGGATACCATTGAAATACATCCCATATTAAATGCCATTGTATCCTGAGCATGATGGGATGTATTTTCGCTGAAATTCCCCCCTGATTACCACTTGACCACAAAGATGGCGGCATCTGTGAAGCGGTCTATGCTTACGTAACAACATATTAAACTTAAGTAAAATATTAACCTAAAACAAGTAAAAATGTCTACCGTTGTTTTGTTGAGAGGATATAGGGGTGGATGTAGTCCAATAGTCTGGCTCTAGACTGGGGTTAGTTACAGACAACTAAACCGGTAGCGGGAAAAGATTGTAAACAAAATATTGCATGACGTTCCGGTTACTAGTCTATAGTCGGGATACAGAGAACCGAAGTGCTGGAGTCACTGTTTTCAATATATGACGTCTTGTACTGATAAACACAAGATGCTGTGATGTTCTTGACAATCATGTTAGTTAATAGAGAACCAATTACAGTTTTATATTAAACACATTATTTTATGCAACTCGTTACTGTGTGTGCTCAAATTACATGTACAAAATTCAGAGAGTGTGCGAAAAAGTGGCCGAGTTTGCCCGATTATTCAGGTTTTGTGTAGTAGATCGTGTATTTGTAGAGTACAAAGTACATGGAAAGAGGCGTCTTAGTTTTGGGGTCTTGTGGTGTAAAATAAAGAACCTTTTCAATTAAATACGGCCCCGAAATTGTTTACTCCTAATACGAGTTATGATGTGGAAGCACTTAAAATATTTACAAAAATAATACGTTAATTTTAATTATTACAAAATGCCACTTGGGAAGCCTCTTTACTCGCCGCTTAATATGCCACTGTATTAGTATCAGGGTTGCTTTGTAGTCCAATAAATAAAAGCTAATGCCATTTTAACTGTGTAAATTCCACATGTACTTCAATCCTGTGTCCGCATTGTCGTTTCAATTGTCGGTGTGAAATCGCGCAGGAAGCTGGTGGGAGTTTCAATTCTCACCGTAGACAGAAATTGGCGTTAAAATCAAATCGCAAGAGACGGAGACCGTTTTGTCTTTTGAGCAAACCCCTGTTTTCCTTTTTTTCACTGGACACATTAGTGACATGTTAGTGACGATACCGTGTGGATTTCAGTAATTACATGCAGGCCTACTCGCAAAGGGAGCGAACTGTTCATGAAGGTTGACATTCATGGTCCACTGGTGTGCGACATCCGCAACAGAGGTGCACAATCTATTCGGCGGTGGTGGCGCGATAGTACAGTGATTAGAAACCTGTGGGTTAAAACCATGACAGCGAGCATCTGAAATACCGTGGCTATACCCATTCTGACGGTGTGTCTCACTGTAAGATGCTCCCGTGGGCATACTGTTTGTTGGAGGCGCTCTTTCCAAACTCCTCATCGGCAGAAAGTCAGTTGATGCAGCTTTCTCAACCGTGTTGGCATGGTGTAAAACTTGGTGGTTCCCCATTGGTTGTTCCTGGGCAACCTGCTGCTCGACTCCTTGCGTGATTGGTGGATAGTAGTTTGTGTGTTGTTGCATGTAAGCTGGATGATTGTGGTGCAATGAAGGTAGCTGGATGTGTTTGTTGGTGTCGGTATTATACGCTTGAGGAGGCTGTGTGAAACCATTGTGGTTGGTGGGGGCATACCTATCCACAGGGTTGCCTGAATACATCGAGTGAACAGGTATCAATGCAGGTGCACAGTCGAACGTACGAGCATCGTTTGGTTGTTTTCCGAACTGGGGATAAGGTGGCTGGATGGGCGGTGACACAGGGTTGAAATACGGTGACCTCAGACTGCAATTAGACCACGGGGATGCAGGCGAGCTGCAGATCTCGCCCACTCGGCGAGATTCGGCGAGAATCTCGCAGGTATGGTTCCGCCGATTCTCCTCGCTGGCAGAGGACAAGACAAGGGGATCCTCGGTCTTGGTTCGCTTGTCCGAGTTGTCACTGGAGGACAGCGTTGCTGGATCGAGCTGCAATATGAAGGGCGGTGGAACGGAAGAGAGGACTCCCTGTGGTCCAGTTGGGGGCGTAGGTTTGCAAGGATGCGCCGGCATCCCGTCAGTGTATCTCTCGGTAGGGGCTACCGTGCAGTCGGGGTCTGGTCTCGCCATACACGGTGGATGGGCTCCGCCATGTTGGAATGGGACATCCGTCAACGGAGCTGTCTGCTCTCTCACACTGCACTGTCTTTGCAGAAAAATCCCGGGATGGTGAACCGCAGAAGTGGTGTTCCTTCTCGATGGGACTACTTCCGGTGTCAGCATTGCTGTTCTCGCGGTGGCCGGGAGATCGCGAGAGTTGGACGAAACAGGAGCGGGGATGTATTCAAAGTCTGACAGATCGCTGGAACTTGAGCTGGAGTATTCCGGATGCTCCGACGGTGAGGACCGCGGTTCTGGCGACGACAGGCGGTCCAGTGACAGAGGACTCGGCAGGCATGACGGATACTCGCTCCCTGGACTAAGTAGCTGCTGACCTGCTGCCTTATCATCGTGGAAGTAACTTTGCAAGTCGAGGTCTTTAGTCAAACAGGGTAAAGGTAGGGTCCTGTCCAGCAGTGGTACTGCGGTGCAGACTCGGTTTGGTGGCGCGCCGCTGTCGGACTTACGGACCACTTTCCGCCGTCGTTTCCGCTGTATTTCTTCCTCCGAGTCGCTAGATGAATCACTGGACGAGCTGAGGTACTCTGCCTCCAACTGCCGCTCTTTTCTCTCCATCGCCATTCTTCTCTGCCCAGACAGCGGGTTTTCTCTCGACGCTTTGGTTGATTTGGGCCCTGTGGAAGTTGTTAACGGTGAATTTTCAAGAAGGTCCGTCGCCTGTGTTGATGATGGCCTCGTTTGGTGAGGTTGGGGAGTCGAGCCGTTGGCTTGTCCGTTAACCTGCGGTGTTAGAGATCGTATGCCGAGGATGGACCCGACGGCGCACCGGTACAGCGCTTCGTCGAGTTCGTTGCGCTCTCCGGCCGGTAGCGCCGTACAGACCTGGTTAGGAGGGGGCTTCTCCCGACAGGTTATGCACTTGCTGTCCTTGTGACAAGGGGCCTCTCCGCTGTGGGGCTTGGTGCGGGAACACGCCGACGGAGCCACTTCGGAGGTAACTGGGTTGGGAAGACGCTGCTTACTGGTCGATCCGACTGGTGTGCCGCACGACAGCGAGGGGACTTGGGAGACTGCTCCACCAGCCTCCAGGCTGTTTCCACACCACGGCTCGATGGTCGGACACATTGTTACGCTAGGACCAGGGATGCCAGCACTACAGACACCAGCCGCCGGTACCACGTTCATCCGTGTCTGGCTGATAGCGGCCGGGTACTCCACTGACTCTGGCTTGACGGGAAACTTTCCCACGCTGAAAGAAACGAAAGGGAAAGTTTTGGTGAGATGTCGATGCTGTTTTCTCTTTCCGTTTCTGGATTACATGCAGACTGTATCCTGTCTGGGTCAACAGGAAAGGATACAACCTTCATCTATCCAAGCCACACAAAAGCACGTGATTTACATGATAACAAAGTGCAGTCTTCGCCGTCCAAAGCTTGAGTTTGTGGAAACAAAATTACGAAGAGCTAAAAGAATAGCAAAACTTTATTGTCTGTCATATTCAAAGGAAAGCGTACGATGGAATCGGAAGAATTTGTAAATACAATCTCATCTTATAAACCTCTACACGTACGTGTGTGGATTGGACGCATGCTCAAAACAAAACCACTCTTGAAACTCAGTGACTGAGTCGATTTAGGGTATGTTAAGACCGTTGAACGATAACTTGAAGGTTATTTTCCACCGTAGACCTATACAAATTCACATGGACTCAGTAGCACCAACCGTTTGATGAACGGTACAGAATGATCAGGTTATTTCCTCATCGGAGAAAATGTTCAAAATCATATAATACTCTGGAGCAAACTAGCTTTTGCATTTTCCAATCTGCGAAAAGATGTAGACGCGGGTCGCAAGTTTGTTTTACATGTAATCATAATGAACAGTGAATACAGAAGTTTACTCTACAATGTACTGCAACGATGCACATGCGGATTCGATCTTGCTTTGTAAGTTTATACAATAAACAAAAGAACTAGGAAAACTTGGCACAGGTTTCATTGATTTTAAAGAGCCATGGGATTGATTGGTTCTCATTGAGCCTGCAGACCAGATTTGTGTCTGAACAAAAGAACTTGGGTTGTGTCACATTGTTATCATTAACATTAAGTAACTTTCTGGTTTGAAAAATTCGCTCTTACACTTCGCCCTATACAGTATGTCCCCCCAAAAGTGTCCGTCTGACTATTTTGGAAATATTTTTTTTTTAATTTTTTAAGTGTGCAGATACGTACCTGTGAGTTGCATGAAATTTCAGTTACGCATCACTACACAATAATGTGAATTGATCACAACGACTTGATATTGGACCCTGTGACCAAGTTCCTTGCTTTAATAAATCATGAACATTGTTTTGGTCAGGCGTTTTCGCGCGTTGCGGAAAGTGGAAACATGCATCACGTCATGGCTGTGACGTCAGAAACATGTTCCAGGTCAAGGGCCGCCAAAACGCAGCCCTGTCTTGTACTAACTGTCTCCAAATAACGCCCTCGTAATAACAACACCAACTATATAGGTCTACACGATAAAAATCGATCCATTATTAGCAAATTGCGGTATCTAATCAGGATGCAGGAAGAAAGTCTCCTATCCAGGGCTTACTATTGGAAACGAGGTTGAAAATAAAGTAAGCACTGGGGACGAGGTTGACAACGAGCTTTTCAGACTGTTTTACACATGAAGATTGCCCGCCCTCTTACGACCGTTTAGTTTCAACTTTCACTGACGCCCCTACTATTCGCTCGTACCCCCCCCCCCCCCCGCAAACTGTTTGCAGGGCGGGGGGTACGAGCGAACCCCTACTACCGCTAATTCATCCGCGTAACTACGGCGCAGTCAGTGGCCGTGTCACGCACATAGCTCTGTTCGACCTCATTTTCTTGTCCCGAGGTCACGCACGCATGGCCTAAAAACGTACGAGAGACTTTACGAGATTTATCCGAGACTACAGAAAAACACAAAAAGTGCCTGGATACATGCACTGTTTGGCCAAGATGGCTAAATAAATGAAAAGTTGAAATCATGTGCTTTATTTTGATACCAAAAATAAATGCTTTTGACAAATATAAAGTGTTGTTACGGCCTGTCAAACAAAATCATTTTTTTTACCAAAAAAAGCGAGGGCCGATAGTTTTTAGGTGAACATTCGATTCTTTAAAAAGGCTGAAAGAAACGGCAAGGCTCAATAGATAGACTCGGAAAAGTATTCACGTCAAACACGTGCAGGAGACTTCTAATGTTTGGTCCAAATCGCCGGTTGAAAAAATGAAGACTTTTGAGAAATTTCATGATTTGCAATCACATGACTTATAAATATTAAGCAGGCCATACTCGAGCTCGACCAATCAGTGGGCGTATGGGTCACAAGGTCACACCGTGTTCGGGTTCCTCGCTCTGTGCAACCTCGTCCGAGTGCTTACTTTATTTTCAACCGCGTTTCCAATAGTAAGCCCTGGATAGGAAACCTTCTTCCTGTATCCCGATTCGTTACCGCAATTTGCTAGTAATGGATTTTTATCGTGTACTTGGTGCTATTATTCACAACGTGCAGTACGTGTTTTACGCGATCATTTTTCCACGCCTTCTCGAAAATACTAAATATTTCCTTTCCAATTTGCTCATATTAATATAAAATATGATACTGCATGTTGTCTCGATAAGATCGATCATTACTGTTTGATTTTAAAAATCGTGTTTTCGTAACTAACGCCGTGCTCACGCTGCTACGAATTGACTCTGTTTTTACCCCCAGACACCGCATACAAAAACAAATGCCAATGTAACGTACATCCAGGCACCAGAATGTTCCTCATTTGCATACGTGTTCACAAATCTTGCATATGCAAATGATCCAATACCTGGGTGAGAGAGCAGGTAGTGGTGGGTGCGTACTGCTCGACACCCTGGCGACGAGTTTGCTCTCTGTGCTTTACAATGGCGACGATCTTTTCGCGTTGTGAAAAATGGAAGTTGTTGGAAACATTAGGTGTACATCGAATTCTTAAAATATTAACGACATCATGTTCACGAGATTTTTTGTAAATAAAGGTTCATTTTTTCCTTTGATTACCTCAACATTTGGGAGACTTTCGTCGTTCTCGAAAAAAACCGGAAATTTCATGACCTAATTTTTAGTCGATTTGTCCGTGAAATAATATCGTCAAAATGCATCGAAATCCTTTTTTTGAGAAAAAAATACCTTGATGAATGTATGAAGTAGGTCTTTAACTACCTAAAACATTTTGGTTTGTTTGGATCGGGTGTGGTTTGCCATGAAAATTGCGAATTTTTTGAAGCCCTTTTTACGGCCATCGTTCGCTGGCCTCGGGTTGCTGTCAGTTTTGTGGACGAGAAAATAGCTCAGCTACGCGTGACCCAGCAACTGACTGGGTATACGTACATTGTATTATGAAACTCCAGTTGTAATCATTTATCATCTGGCACTGGCTGTACGTGCATCGCTAGACAGTATTAGGACGGAACAGGAAGAATATACTGAGAATAACACTTCCGATTGACCGTGGGAAACGACAGACTCAGAGTCAACTTGGCCTATCGAAAATGATCAGATATTAAACGGTACACAGTGGTTTGAAGACCCAGACATTTCACCTCAAGGTTTTTTTTCCAGTTTTTGTTATTGCTTTTACCTGACATGTCTAAAGATATGATTCAAACCACCAACAAGTAATTTTGAGGTGTAATTCACTTCGAAGTTCACATTTTATTACACAGCCTCTTTATTCAATAATGGCAAGTTATGATTTGGCATCATGAGATTTAAGGAGTTGCTGTGTCCAGGACCTTAACTTGCTGTTTTCTGTAACCCATTTTTTTGTGAAGTCACTTTATCACTCTTTCATTTGATATATGATTTATATCAATAGCTATAGCAAGAGGTCAGTAAAATGAGGGTAGGCATAATGAGTAAATCGCTATTTTAAGAAAAATATTTACAAAACCAAAACTACACACATTTTTCGATCGTCCACCAACAGCCAGAGTATTTTTTTGGATGAAAAACGCTTCTAGAATTAACAACTTGCTTATGTTCCATGATCGCCCTCTTTTCCACAAAACCAAACAGCCGAGAAAAAAATCCTCTGAATAAAACGTACATTACTTCAACTGTGCCGCACACATTAATTTTATTTCCCAAATTTCGAGGGAAAAGATTATAAATGACCCTACATACCTTCAAAAATACACATTCTCCAGTACATTGAGACGTCCCATTTGTGCAGATTGAACAAAAACATGAGTAAGCCTTACTTTTAATATCACAAAATGAACGTACGTCGTCCCAGATTCGCGATGTTTCGGCCTGAAAAAAAATAGTTGTCACACTGTCCCTATTGGTCAACAGGGGGCGCTACTCACCAACGGCGAGTAAAACTCACGAGTAGCAAAATCTACATCGTTTCTTTGATAAAAAATGCACGTGCTGAGAAACGTGCAACATAATCTACATGGTAATCGATCGCATTTGAATTCGTTTTCAGTAATATTTTGGATGATGATTCAAGAAAATCGATCATGTCTGGGTCATGCATGGTTTTAAACCACAAATAAATGATCATTAATGTTACACACCGCGGTGTCCAACATTAATTATTATATTTATTTCTTTGTCTGGAAATGGTGTATTCGGAAACAGCTGCACTGTGTCGTATTGACCATGTACACATGTAATGGGAAAATGAATTCCAGTTTTGCCTACAGTTTTTTTTAATGAATATAAACTTTACAGATACATAATTTTACAGATGTACTGTCCGTGTAATTACTTTACTCCGAAAAATATATATAATGTTTTTAATCTTTCTGTTATTCTAGCACTACCAAGTTATTTACTTTTGAAAAAGCCTTCGATGGTAAAAAAAAAATGAAAAAAAAAATCGGCTTGTATATAAAAACCCTGTTTTCATGGGTTGCATGACACCCAAAGCACAAAAAAACCCTGGTTTGTTCCGGTTTATTTTTTCGTTTCAAAAATAATCTAATTTGTTAAAAGTCGGTAAAAGAAATGTAGATAGAATTTCGTTGAAGAGCACGGACAGCATACAGTGTATTTTGAAGATTGCATTCTGATATTCTTCTGATTTTTTTTTCTGTCTGAAATCCCTTATAGAGATGCAGGACGCATTGTTTTATTACTGAGTGTAGGATGCACAATGACATGTGAATATTCTGTCTTCAGGTCTTTTGTCTGCTGATCGGCAGAATCCGCCCCGCCCCCCCCCCTCAACTTTTTCCGCGATAACCTTTAAAAAAAACCAATTTCGCGACCCGAGCTGTTATGACTTTTTAGCCTCAAGCCTTGTGCATCTTTTGATACCAAAAACATAAAAATCGGACCACAAAAATTTTCGGCTGAGAGATGGTCAAAATAACCCGGCCCTTTTTAGGGTTAAGGCATGCACTGCACACTTGAGAGGATTCGTATTGGTGAAGGTCAACCCTCGCAAACCACATGGAGTAGGGTCGTTTGTTATGACGGAATAGCACTACAAACTCACCTTAGCTGTTCTGTCGCCCTGTGATGCATCTCATCTAGGGATTGCGGACTTCGGACCTCTGGACTTGGGTCCTTCCAGTTGATCCATTCAGCCGTCTTGCGCGACCTGTGGTCATGATTGACCTGCTGTTGCTGCGCCTGAAGCATGGGAACACCGTTGGCGAACGGGGAAAGACCGTTCGCGAATGGAGCGAGACCTTTTGAGGCGCCTTCCTGGTTACCGATGATAGAATGGGAATTGGTACACACTACTGGCGCAGATGCTTCCTGTACCGGGTTTGGATCGGTGTTGTCAACGTGGGAGTTGACTATGGCAACACGTGGTTGGGGAAAATTCTGCATGGCACTGGGTCCGGGTCCAAGCATGTCTGCATCAAGCTGCGGTGGTATGTAGTCCATCGTGGACGGTTGACCGCATTCGTAATTGGCCAGAGGAGAAAGTTCATCCTGGACAGCATGGCCTCCTTCCCGCTGTAGACGTTTGTACTTGGCTCGACGATTCTGAAACCATATCTACGTATATCCAGACAAAAGTATCTCATTATTCACCTTTATACATGTATAACTCCTCAACTGCATGATATGTTCTAAATTTCGATTCATCGAGTTTTTATCCCAGCTTTGAACTTTTGATATTGTGATGTCAGATGTGCGGACGAGTGTAATAAGAGTGTACGTCTTGCACATGCACATAACGTCGGGATTATTGTCGTCCAGGTGTTATGTGCAACTTTACAACGAAGAAAAAGTAGTCACATCTTTTGTATCCTTGTCGTAGTTTGGGGAGGCTCGTCCCTCTCAGATCTAAGCAGTGTTTAGTAAATAAGCCAAGTCTTAGCGGTGTTAAGTTCATCAGCAAAAAGAAAAATAGCTTATTGGAACTATATAAGAAAACCCATTGAGGACCAAGGTGTGCCCTCAATAGCACAGCAAAGCTATAGTGACGTAAACTTGTGTGATAAATTAATAGACGAATTCCAAATTATATGCAGCATCGGTGCATCCAAGCTGAGGCTATCCGCGCCTGTTACGCAATTGAGAACATTTTCTTTGTAAAATCTCTTTATAAAGGAGGGCACGCGTGAACTTGGTTCGATGCTAATTTGAAATCCGTCTATACCGTTTGTTCCCAAAAAGTGTCCGTCTGACTATTTTTGAAATAACTACGAAGCCATGAATTCAATTTTGATATAATTTAATTGTGCAGATACTCCTTATCCCTGGCCTAACATCCCATGAGTTTCATTTAATTTCTCTCATGCCTCACAGCACATTGGTCAATAATTGATCACAACAACATTTTTGGACACTGTGACCAAGTTCCTTGCCTTAATCAATTTCAGTGCTGTGTTATGTAAGCTGTGCAAAATCCTGCATGTTGTGAAAAGGGCTTCGGCTTGGATTGGAATCATTTGCCTGGCTATCAGTCATCAATGCCAGACTTCAGTTTAATGCTCAAGGGCAAATGATTCCAATGCCAAACCACATCAGCCTTTTTTCCACAAAATGCAGGATTTTACACAGCTTACATAACCGTTGATTAAGGCAAGAAACTTGGTCACAGTGTCTAAAAATGTTGTTGTGATCAATTGAAAATTATGCAGTGATGCGTGACTGAAATTAAATGAAATGGGTGGAGGCCAAGGCTTATAATGTAGTTATTTCAAAATTAGTCAGGCTGACACTTTTTGGAGAGGTTGTGGAATGATTCATCAATTTCAATGGATTATAAACTTTTTGGTCGTAATGTCGTCTTAACAACGACTCCACTGAAATAGGCCGATGGCTCAATACAATTGTTTTTGTACCTGTACACGTTCCTCGTTCAAGTCCAGCCTCTGTGCAATCTTGGCCCGCAGCTCCCCGTCGGGGTACTTCTGATCATGGAAGAGCTGCTCCAACGCGTGCAGCTGGGCCGCGTTGAAGTTGGCGCGCTCGCGCCGGGGCTTGTCGGCAGAGGGTGCCCGGTCGTCCGTAGAGCGCCCTCGGCGGCTGCGCTTGCGTTTCTTGCCGCCTTGCTCCTCCGTCATCTTCTCGTCTTGGGCCATGGTGATGGCGCCCTCTGCGTCTTGGGAGGGATTGCTGCTGCCCTCAACGACTGAGCAGTTACTGGAACTCATGGCACGGGGGATTTAAATGTCCTATCGTCAACTGGTTCTAAAGGAATTCAAAATAGAATCCGCTAATATAAATACGTGATCTGCTATGTTATTCCAATGAAGACAATTTCTGTATGTAAATCGCTACTAAACTCAAAACCAAAGACGAAACTGCAAGACAAAATCTCCAAAACTCGAACAGTTAAAAGACCCTAACCTTAACCTTTGTTTATTAAGTTGAAAACCAAAACACGAATTGTTTTTCTTTTTCTCGGTATACTGTATTCACCCTAAAAACAAACGTGTGATTAACATGTTCAATACTGTGGTTTCTTTATCCTAGTTGGCCTATGGTCTCTTCGTAATATTGGAAATGTTGTTGTGGCCATTGAAACGAAACAAACTGGGGTTTTGGGGGTTAAGGTGAATTACACATTAAATTTTTTGTCAGCCTTTAAATGACTGATTTGATGGCCTAAAACGAAGATTAATAAGCAGAATCCTAACTTTATAATACTTTAATATTACCTTACATAACATATGGGATATTAGCATGGGGTACCTGTGGTATTGGCTTAACTGATAGAATATCTAAATTGCAAAAAAAGGCTCTTAGAATAATCAACTCTGCTCCTTACTTGGAACATAGTAATCCTCTTTTCCATATGCATAAAACTCTTAAAAAGTTAATGATATTTATCTCCTACAACTTGGGATCTTCATGCAAAAACTTAGTTACAACAAATTACCTAAATCCATTTGTTCCATGTTTGTAAAAAATGAAGATGTGCATCAGCATTTTACCAGACAGTCTAAGAAATTCCATCAATCTTTTGCTCATACATGTACTTCTCTCACCCAAAACACAGTTAAGCATGAGGGTCCCAAGCTGTGGAATTCCCTTGAGATTTCTTTAAGAAATACTTGGAATCTTCCATTATTTAAACGTAGATATAAGGCCAAATTACCCACTGGTTATTTGAATCCCAACTAGCTTTTTTTTTTTCAATTGTTAATATTTCTCACAGGGTTACAAGACCTATCAGAGGGGGGGGGGGGGGATTTGCTTATGTGTTCTTCATTGTGTTGTGTATTTTGTGTAAGTGTTGTATGTGTTAATTTAGGTTACATATATAAAACATAAACATGTGTATAGTAATACATATACTGGAGTTCCCTACCTGACAAGCATATGCTTTTTAGGGACTCCATCCACATTTATCGTATCTATTTATATTTATTATACAACTTAAGTTATGTGGAAAATAAAGAATGAATGAATAAATGAAACGGTATAAAGGGGCTGCCGGATTCCATTTTTATCTTGTATACAATTGAATGTATTCTCTCATGATTTTCTTTGACAATAAATGCAGGCCTACTATCAAACTACCGTTTATCTACATAAACAACTCATTAGCATGGGGTTCAGTATGTGCCTCCGGCCGTGCATCATAAGTCTACTAGTGCTTACCTATTGTGAACTTGTCGCTTTTCCAGGAAAGCTTCGGCTGTGCATGCCATGTGCCTTGATCATGGTCGGGTACGTGATAAATTCATCTCACATCATGAATCCAGGGAATTTCCACAGATCGATACTTATAAGAATCCTGTCTCTCTAGAGACAGTAACACCTTAAGTAAAAGTCTCCAGATACAGTTCAGAGCAACAGTACCAACGTTGCGAAAATTGAGGTTTTTTCACGTGTTCTCGGCAAGCACCGTTGGGCCGTCCTGTCACGGCAGCATTTCTGGCCGATTCACGGCAAGCACACTTCACGCCTGGGCAACTTCGCACCTCTTGTTATGCTAATGTTAATCCTTGATTAGGCCACCGGGTGGGTCATTAAGTTAAACAATATCCTTTGTCAACATTGAATCACCGTGACTTGACATTGCAGGCAAGCTCAATGCAGCCCCCCCCCCCTCTTGCGCCAAGCCAAAGATCAGCTGCTGGCTAGTTGTTATGGTGTATACCAAGGAAGTTAGAAGAACTATCCCGAGCCACGTACAATGGTCGGTGTATAGGCATCTTCATATCGAAAAAAAACCTCCTAGTTTTATTCTCTGCAGGTTATTTAGCAAGGTATCTCCATATCAAGCAGAATTTGCTGCAGATAACCTAACGCGTCTCAAAAGAGGTTATATTATCCACTTGTTTCACATAATGGCTTTTGGCATTCTTAGTTAGGCCATAGAGTAAGGAACGTTCACAACTAGACGTAGTAATATAATCCCGTAAAGGCTGCGCCATTTTATCTTGTAGATGCTGCTAATTACAAAGGTAATTATCATTATTCATAATTTAAATACAAGTGTTTCCTACAGTTGTGCTGGTGTCGCTATTTGAGTAGTGCTACAAAGGCAGTACATGTAACTCCAAATTTCGTAGGTCTCTTATGTGATGCTGGAAAAAATGCTATTCTTCGACAATGCAACGCATTGTTGGAGTTTCCAAAGAATAAAAACTGTCTAAAATGATTTCGATATAAATCGGGAAAAGCGAAGTATAATTACATGTTTATGCTTGAAACCCCTCTCATTGCGGATAGCAAGAGAAAGTCAGCTATTTTCTCTCTATTTATGAACATCTAAGTAAGCCTCGGTACTGATGACGTCACGCTTTGTTGACGTGTGCTTTCTTATGGGAGCCTGATGGGGACGACGGCTTCGTAGCCCCATAGAAAAGCGCACAAGTAACAAAGTGTGACGTCATCAGTACAGAGGCTTATTGTGAGGGCTCAAGTCAGCGGTGGGCGGGGGTTTGGGGTGGGGGCGTGCGCTTCCTTGTCCTATATTACTTGTACACGGACGTGTCTGTGAGAACGGATTCAGCCGCTACCCTAGGCGAGTGTATTCCGGTCGTAGCTAGGTAAATCGGACACGGCCTTTACTTTGTCAACGAATGCCGTACCCGCGAAAGTAGATCGGTAAAGACGTTTTATTGAGCTCAGCAGAAACTTGGACCTCATGACGTGAGTGTCAACACGAACTTCAACTTGATGGATAATAATTAAGCTACGTAAGACCACTGGTCTAACGAGACTGGCTGACATGCATTTCCTTCATCTATGCATGGAGTTGAGGGAGTTGCAACTCCTGTTCCTTGCTCTACTCTATGCATGGATATGGCATCGATGCTCCGTACCACGTATTGAAGCAGTCGCCCGCCATCTTGGGTCACCGAATGACGTACGCTCGCGCAGTTAACCATGATTGGTTTTTACGTGTAGTTAGATTTTTGTATATGAAGTCGGCGAAGATGATCTATTTCTAGAATTGGCCAACATCCAAACAAATACATCATCAGGGGACTGTTATAAATGACAAAACAATCTCAACCGCAGAACGACGCACGCCTACATAGGCCTATAATGAACCCATTCGGGCACGCTATCAATCCTATCACGAAGGCCCCCTTCAATGGCGAAAGCATTGTTTGCTATTATCCAGATAATCCGTGACGGGCAACTGATTTGCACAGAAGAAGTGTGCACAATGGTTTCTCCAAGAAAGTTCATATCTTGCAGACTTTGAAGATTATAGAATGCATATTTTGCGTGTATCTAAATACATGTACATAGCGAGCGGGAACAATATAATTTCTTCGATTCTTTTTGGAGGGGATGCAAGGGTTTCTGTTGGAAGGGGGCGTCAATGGCGTAGCCTTTCTGTAGCTAACATGTCTTACAATACACACTCACATTAAAGAACAAATACGAGCCGAGTGATGTCAACTTTTGTGCAAAATGAAGGTTTATTAGGCTGTATAGGCGTTAGTGAACCGACGTGTCCCTTTGTAAACAAAAACAAAAAAGTATATGGTATAAACCCCCAGCAGCTGTGAAATTCTTACCTCAATTTGAAATAAGGTGAGTAGGTAACAATAACTAGACTATATCAAAATGTGTCAATAACACTTGCAAATACAATTACGCTATGTGCATTGTGGGAGCACCTTTTCTTCTATGTGCTTTGCGTATTCTATTATTATTCTTATATAATTATACCACTTTACATCAAAATGTTACCATAAAGAGAATTAGCTCAAAAGAAAAGTAACGCGAACTCTATAAAAAAGGGTAACAGTTGCCATAGTAAACAGACAAATTATCAAACATGATGAGCAGAATTTATCCACACTTAAGACCAAAATATAGCTACAGCTACTTAAAAAAAGAACAAAATATATTTTTTTCGCTTCTAAATATTTTAGGCTTGTTTTTCCTTCAAACTTTAGTCTTTTACGCACATATTATTCACGTTAGATATAACGGTTCGATATAACGAGCTACAATATAAGGACTAACGCTCAGTGGCAAGCAGCGAAAAATGATAATATAGCCACAATTCGGATCCACTCTTTGTCCCAAATTAATGGGTTAGTAGAATTCAATATTTTTTTTTTAAATCAAAGGTACATGATTAGGCAAATAATTATTGTCTTTCATTAATAGCTTGAAAAAAGTTTTGCTTTACCTTTTTTGATTTTAATAATAGCTTGCTAATATACGTTTTTCTAAGTAAATACATCTCCACTACTAGTTATACTTTAATTTAGACAGTCGTGTGACTGTTAAAACAAAAAAAACCTCCAGATATGGTTTCTATAACCACTTTTAATAAATGAAGAAATTCTGGAATACCAAAAATACTACTACTACGGCAGCCTATACCAGAATGCCAGCCTACTTCAAAATATTTTTAAAAACAAAAAAAGGTTACAATTATATTTCTATAAACCTTAATATAACTTGCTTTCAGTACTTTTTGTTAGTGCAGACCTTTTAATTTTTTATTTTTACAATAACATTGCAAGCTTGTAACTACCTTTGTCGGTTAAAACTAACATGCTTATCAAAATTTACCTTATTTGGTAAAAACCAAATAACCCTTTTCTAGAGTAATATAATAAAATTAAAGTACAACTAGGGCTACTAACCACACCACATCAGCCATAGATACACTGTTTTCTGTCAAATGCTACTTTTTCATACTTTTAAACTTCAATATTAGGAAAAAATACAATTTATATAGTAAAGAGCTGAAAGGAAAAAAAAGATCGCTGCAAAAGTTTTAGTCGATGTTACTTCTTGTGAAAAAATAATAATATTTTTTTCCAGAACTTTCTGTCCGACTTCACTGGAGGCACTCTCGGCTTATTTTTGAATATTAATGGCCATTAATTTGCTAGCGACTGAGCATTTTTGAATATTCTGAATTCGAATCTAGTTTACAACCTTCCGTGAACAGATATATAAAAAAAAATCCCTTTCTGTTTTGAACTACATCTGTTCCTAGTTTTTCGTTTTTTATCAACTCAAGTAAATTTTATAATTTTCTTCCGAACAATATCTTTTTTTTTTTTCAATAACTTGCTCACATGTTGGTCAAACCCACCACCATTAATGCATTTTTATAATCGAAACAAGGGGAAAAAAAACCCAAAATAAACAGGGAAAAAAGGAAAAACTAAATATTTTTTTTCTAAATAAAAAAACCCCCAATATCTGAGAGTAATTTAAAACTTTGAATATTTTTTCCATATAAATGTCTAGTGTTGCAAAGTCGATGGTTACAATATTCTGGCAGTCAAAGTTATGCAAATGAAACTATTGGTTACAACGTAGATGACGACTAAACAATACTTCGAAATCATTTTAAATTGCATATCCTTAATTTTTATTCATTTAGTCACTTTTTTTTTTGCATATAACATCAGGCCAAAGATACGTCTTTTTTTTTTATTTTTTTTTTTTTACGTTAGAATAACAACATCTAAACTACCGGTTAAACATCCAAAACCTCCCAGCTATACATTTCTACATTATATTTTTTCCCGTACTCCATCAACCCTTTGGAAGACTATATCAAATACTTATTGTTTAACCTCTTTTTTTTTAAAATCTATTTTAACAAAGGACCCTATTTTACACTGCACTTGCCATAGTTCGGCTTTGCTTACATCCCACATAAGCGTAGTTCGTTACCAAGGAATTACTTGAGGAGAACCAAGTTTTGGTTGACATGCCAAGTACCAGTTGAAAAACCTAGGCCTTACATGGCTTAAGGCTATCACCGGTAACCACGCTTATCTACTGTACATTTTTACGACGGATTGGCTCCAAGCGAAATATAATGAACCAGGAAAGCCTCAGCCCCTTCTTTACGGCTCATGAATGCATGTAATTCTATAGGGATCCCTGACTGCTGGTTTTTTTTTTTTTTTTTAAATGACTATGGCTAGATCATGCTGAAACTACGAACAGTGGAGAGAGAACGGACTACCAGGTATGTGCTCGTCGCCCCATTTGACGACTAGTTTGTAGCTACCGGTCTCTTTCAGGAGATACGTGATGGTGAAGCGTTGTCTGCCCATGTGCTTGACGACTATTTCTTCGCAGGGGGTCTTGGGTCCGGCGATGCCTACAAGTAGCATGTTTTGACCTGCAGAGAGCAACGAAAGTAGTAAGCATTGTGTAAAATTTACCTTTCATACATTCGCCTACCGTCGCCCTACTGTCTGGTTTACAACTAGCCTTGGTCAATGCTCTCGTCGTTATTCGTCCCGTACGCGGTCAATGGTACGGCATATATCCTCACGCGCTATGCACATGCATGTAAAAATACAGCGCGAACAGTGACCTCACGCGGCCACTATTTTTATATGCAAATCAGTTGTGGACGATCGAGAGCCTTGGTTCAATCGCCCATGTGAGGTTTTGGGGTTGGTGCTCATTATGTTAATAGCCTTGGCTGACCTTAAATGTTGTTTTCTTATTGGTCGATCGTTGCGTGGAAACTTGCATAGTGAAACGTGGCACCGTACATAATTCATACACGTACACGTTGTGTGTCTCTGCACACGGCACCAATGCACAAAAACTGTGGTTCCTGTCACGTCCGCAAAAGGCGAATAGCTGCAAATAATTTGATGACGTCCGGATTTACCAAGGTGTGACTGGACACTCCACATATTAGCCCAGCCTACACTTATCTGTATTCGCATACGAGGTCGTGCGCTAGAAATCCAGCGCAAAATAAAGAAAAACATAAGCTTTTGCCGACGATTGAACCAAGGCTCGAGATCGGCCCCAACTGATTTGCATAAAAAAATAGTGGCCGCATGAGGTCGCTGTTCGCGCTGTATTTTTACATGCATGTGCATAGCGCGTGAGGATATATGCCGACGATTGACCAGGGCAAATAACGACGAGAGCATTGACCAAGGCTAGTTTACAACATAAGACGTGGTTGCTAACCAAACGCTTGCCTACTGCAATGGTGGCCGTCGCGATCATGAGCAACATTGCTTTTTGAAATCATACTCTCTATGATCGGAAGCCATTTAGACAAACCTGGGTTTTAGACTGTTATGGTAAATGCAAATATACATCTGTCACTCTTCAAACTGTCTTTGTTTTTTGTGTTTTTAAGAGACGAACAATGTAAAATGATTGAATACAATGCATTCTGGGAATCCAGCTGCCAATACATTGAACAGCCCCATGTACCATTTTCAGTAGAATTTTGCATGCTTGCTCACATTTTTGAATATTTATTGTGGTTATTCCAACAGATATTCTGAACTAGAAACATGGCAGCCTTCACTATACCCACCAAAGCAAATATAAAATAGTCAAAATTGTAACCACTATCATTAAATTTGACTTATTTATTAAAACTCAGACTGGGTTTTAGCCCTCTACCGATGACATAAGACGACTAACTGATGCGGGCATTTCAAGTTACTGAGGTATTTGTGTACATAATATCCTATTCTCTTGACGGGAATGCAGTATGGCTTCGAGATAAGCGGAGATTTGAGTTATCCGACTTTTGAGTTATAGGGATTTTACTGTTGGGAGGTGGCCCAGCCCAGGCGCACAGCACCCAATAAGATACATACCTCCTTCACTACAGTTGACGGAAAACTGGCACTTCTTGTTGATGAAGGCCTTCTTGAGACCCACGCCCGTCGACGTCACCTTGCTGGCATCGGAGGAGAAGATCGGCATTGAAGATGTCTGCGTTGTCTTGACAACAGTCTCCACGGTGACGTTGGCCTGTTCCACTTTCATGCTGGTGGGGCCCTTTGCCTTGCCTGTGTAAGCAAGCACCAAAGCTTGTCAGAAAAATACGTTTGCTACACAGAGAGATGCATATGGAATTATGACTCCATGCATGCACAGTGAAGGGCACGAAGTACGAATAACCCATTTGCGAGTTAAATTTGAATAAAATTTGGAACGCTGACTTCATCCAATGCTTTGTACGTTTTAACTTTGCATTCTCCCGACCAAAGAGACTGTTACTATATCATGTGATTCGGGCAAGCCTTATGCTAGCAACCTCCAGCTCCAGAATGGTCTGGTGTCTTTGTCGCATTCTCATCCATTGTGAACAATGTATTGGTGCTAAGCGTCTCTTACGTAACTATGCAAGAGCTTGCCTCGCATCATGTGATTAGCAACAGTGTCTTTGGTCTGGATTCAAAGAATTCAAAGTTAAAATGCGCCAAGCATTCTGAGCAAGTCAGTGTACCAGATGTTTCAAATTTAAATCCCAAACGGTAGAGGTCACTCGCAAAAGGCTTATTACGGCTGTTTATTTTGGAATCATTTAGTATTCGAAACTGCGCTTGACCAAATATTTGAATATTAGAAACTTGCCAATCATGAGCTATAACCTGCTCGAAGGATGGGGACAAGGTTCGGGTTATTTATTTCAACATTTTATTTGTTGGGGGAAGAATCATCGTAGGCTTCTAACCACCATGGAGCATGCATGGAGGAAGGAACAGATATCACATATAACTTATTAATTTAATGACATAATAGGGCTTGCTCAATGACGGCCATCTCTGTAGGAGAACTGCAACTGCGTATTTTACGCAATGAAGCACGCATTACGCAATGCTGATACTGTTCCAATCACGCGCGCTTGGTGCTCGAAATGTGTTTGAAATACGATGCAGCGTTATGCCAGTTGACGCTCAAAATGCCAATGCACGTGGATGGTCTGTAGGAAATGACATCATTTGAACGAGACCTATCCGCTCCGTTTACAAGTACCCCCTCACGGGCAAAGAAAATACAGGTGGGGGTCACCGACCAACGCCATCTTGCCTGACTGCAATATTTTACTGCGAAGCGCGGCCACTGCATGAGTGTACATACATGTAGTACAAGTCCCTTGGTGTACGTGCGTCACACACAAGGAATGGTGCACGCATGTCATCCAGCGAAATGTATGTGTCCCGCCCATGGGACGTCGTTGCTAGGTAAAAGGGCGCCCTCTTTTGTTGTCGCACGGAGCCCATAGCTCTCCTCTAAAATAATAAATAAATAACCCAAACCTTGTTCCCATTCTTTGAGCGGGTTAAAGCCCATGATTGGAATCATAAGACCATCAGATTCAAACTTATGACCCCTCCAATGAGTGTGGACTTTCTGTTTTTTTGCGGTGTATATATTTCTTCTGTCTGAAGACAGAACAACTTGTTACAATGTCATCATACCTCCAAGAATATGGCTTAACTTTTTATTGGCGTTTGCACTTACCAATGATTCTGGCCTTGAATGGGCTGCCGCCGATGTGATGCGGGCCGGCATATTTGATGGAGATGAGGTGGTCACCAGGCTGGGTGGGGTAGTAGATACACTTGTAGCCCTCGCCGATCTCTTGGACATCCAGCTTGACCTTTGAAGGTGCATCGATAGTGATGGAGAGGGATCCTGCTCCTGCGCCGCAGGTGTTGACGATGAATTCAGCGGGCTCACCTGGAAAGTTTCCAAAAATTTGTTTAAGTACATAGATAATGGCCGAGCGGATTAATACCTTTCAGTCAATATACAAATACTGAGTGGATCAGCCTGGAATGGGAGGAATATTATCGCAAGGTAAAACCTGGACTTTTCGCCGAGTGAACTGGAAAAGTCCAGATTTTACTGAGCGATAATATTCCTCCCATTTCACAATTTAAAGCCACTCAATATTTGTTTTATATAACTGACATATAGATCCTTGTCATTTGATATATTTGAACTTTTATTTCAATACAAAATTGGTGAAAAAATGTATTTCTCTCTTCCAAACCACCCCTTCACGAAAATGTTTGAGCCCAATGCTGTAGCGCTGGCTCTTAGGAACAATACGCGCTACGCGCAACGCTGAACGCGCACACCAGCATGCATTTGCACACAAATACCACGTCATGGAACAAGACTGATCTTAACTGTTCAATAGTATTTCCCATTCCCCATGGGCGGATAGTACTTTTTAAGCTCCGGCGTGAATGGCAGTAATAATGAATGACACGTGATGTGAGTTCCACCAATCCAATGACAAGGATCTGTATGTCGGTTCTCTATGATTATATAAAAGTAAATATTATACATTTCCAACAATTTTGTTCTACAATTTTACTTCATGTTTTGTGAAACATCCCTCTAGCGAGTAGCACTAAACATCTCATTTTATGGAGAATGGCGCACGATGTTGCCCAGAACGTGGCGGTGCGTTGTGAATTCAGGACTCTATGAAATACAGACTTATTGGTAGTGTTGCACATGCCTAAGTGAAGATTGAGAAACTCGGCCAATAGAAGGGGAAAAGGGACCAGATTTTGGAGGAGTCCAAATTCATGTGACACCGGAAAAAGTGTTTAAAACCAGTTGATGTATTATCAACTGTTCACAACCGCCCATGTGCCAGGCTCTCGACCAACAGGAATGGGTCAACTGTCCAAGGCATTTATGAATAACTGATTAAAGGTCTGCGAAAGGTCTGGACTACGACATTACTCATTTCACACTTCCTACCTGTTTTTCCCTTCTCCAGTCCGTCGCCGTAGGCATGGACCATGCCAGGATCTCCAATGAGCTCATGGCCACCCACGCGCACCTTGAAGGGACTGCCTGGGATGGGCTGCTTCTTGAAGAAGACGTGGATCAGGTGGATGCCGTTCTCACGTGGGAGGAAGCGGACTGCGTAGTTCTCTGAGGACAAAGACAAGAACATGATAATAGAACATGTAATAACACAATTTAAAGGGAATATACATCATTTGCTTTTGCTGCAATTTTCAGAAATGGATGGATTTGGGGGTTGGTAATATATAGCAAATATTGTTACACTGACTTTTTGATGTTTTAGGTTCGTAGATGCTATAAAAACAAAGAAAAACAATCATTTTCCTGTAGTCTGGTTTCCTGAATCCATTTAAGATGAAACGGAGCAATATATAGACGTTGGGGAATTGTAAGGTCAGGGAACCAGTCTAGCTGGCATGTACCCGTTCATAGGTGTGCAATCGATTGCAAACAAATGTGGACTAACTAAATATGGTCAACTATTATAAGATGGAATTTGCGTCGGGGTGATATTTCAAAATAATTAGGTAGTTTTATTTTTTGATGTTTGTAAATGTTGTATTTTCCCTTTAAAAATTTTTTTTTTTTTTCAGAACAGGTTTCATATCCTCCTGATATGTTCCTTGTAAAAGGAAATATATAAAACACCAAGAAAACCAATAACTTTAGGGCATAAAAAAAATACATAGTTACTTGAACAGCAACCCATATGGTTGTCCCCCTGCATCATATCAATATAAACATACTCGTTTGCAGAGCGCACCCTAATTAGTAATTGCCCTACTACTATTAAATATTGAACCGTTCGTGCACAAGTGGTAAGCACTCAATGTTCCTCTGAAATGAGAGTGTGCTTTGACTTTAAGAACGCATGCAACATGCTCACAAGCAAGGTCCCATCTGAAAAATGGTTCCTCACACTGAATTTGTCTAGAGTCAGCCCCCCCCCCCCCTTTGCCCTCTGCTTTCCAAATTTTTCACGCTGCTAGTCCACCCAATCTTGAAATGAAATCCCTGCTTCTGTCACCAGTGCTGAGAATCAAACTAGACAGAGGACACCAACTGACCGTTGTCAATCTCCGTGATGTTGCACTCATCTTCAGCACCAGAGGGCGCTACAGCCTTGGCTTCCAGATCCCCCTTGGCTCCGTTGAGCTGCACGGCGAAGGACACCGGCTGGTTGGCCTTCAGTCCGCTTTCCTGCAGAAACACATGTACAATAAATCAGTTGTAAAATAACCACACTGGAAGATTTTCCCTTTCATTGATAACGACAGTCAACAAAATACTGGTACCCATCCGTGCCGCTTACTATAGGTGACTAAATGTTTATGGCAGTCGTATTGAGAAGGGAAACTTACATGGAGAGCAGACACGCTGAGACGTCTAGCTTCACCGAGAGCTGGGGTGATCATGGGCTTGAATGGACTGTCAGGGATGGGCTTGTCATTGTACATGATGTCAACCACATACTCCCCTATGGAAAAGGAACAAGGAACACATTTTAGCCCATTAATTCCTGTACCTGAATATGGAAAAGAATAGAGCATCTACGTTATAAAAAAATTATCTGGGAACAATTCAGTCATTACCTGCTTAGGCTTTCAAGCGGACCAAGGTGAAAAAGTAGCAGAATAGAAGGATCAAAATTTCCAAGAAAATAGGACAAAAGTAGGAAACTAAGCTCTTGGAAGTACAGTAACAAGTACTCCTGCGCCCAAGCCCTTCAATGTGTGATTTACATGACCATGTGTAACAGTGAGAATTTCAAGGGAAAACTAAACATTTTGTTGTGGTCTTCTCCCTGTAGGTTGCTTGAGGCTTCATATTTGGGTTCATATTTGCCTTTACTTGTGAGGTAAAGATCACCAGATAGAGGTAAAATAAAAGAAATAACAAGACTTTTAACCGAAAAACTGCCAGAAGCCTGTCTGCCTTTTACCTGGTGCTGTGGGGACATAAGTGACTTGGTAGGAGCCATCTTTGTTGTCCTGGATGTCAATCTTGGCCTTGGCCGGTCCCTTGACTGAGATGCTCAGCTTGCCCGGCCCAGCTTCACGCGTCCAGACAGTAAACTCAGCTATCAAGAGAAATTCAATTCAATTCCATGTTTTTTAATTTGACCCTCCCTCTCTCAGTGACAAAATGGAGAGAGATACCCTTTCTGTCAAAATCTATCAAGTGACGGTTTTTAACAGTTTTGTAAATAAGCCATTTGCGAGTTTAAGTTGAATAAAATCTGGAACATTGACTTAATCCCATGCTTTGCACGTTTTAACATTGCATTCTTTCCACCAAAAAGACTGTTACTATATCACGTGATTCGGGCAAGCCTTATGCTAGCAACCCCAAGCTCTGGCATGGTCTGGTGTCTTTAATGCCATTCTCACCCATTGTGAGCAATGTATTGGCGCTGAGCGTCTCAAGAGCTTGCCCCGAATCATGTGATAGGCAACAGTGTCTTTGGTCTGGAGAATTCAAAGTTAAAATGTGCCAAGCATTTTGAGCAAGTCAGTGTAACAGGTGTGTTTTTTCAAATGTAACTCACATAGGATATAGGTTACTCGCAAATGGCTTATTTGGCTCACATTGGTACAATTGACAGGCTGTGGCAAGTTAGTCAACTGAAGGTACCATGCCTTGACTGACAGTCAGTTCTGCTGACAGTAATAGATATGGTGGGTTTAAGTACTGCCGAGTGCCTGGCAATGATTGATTTAAAGATATAGTCCATCATTTGTACTTTGTGCATTTTGTTCGTTTTAAGCAACAAAAGTGCTCAAACTCTAAAGAAGGGTACTGAACAACTAACCTGATGAAGTTTCAGCTCAGCTTCAGCTGTATATTCCGAGAAAAACAGCATTCTAGGATCTCAATTTCAAATCAAAAGTTGCTGAATCATGTTTTGAATTGGGCCTGAATTCAGCGTCCGAGACACGTTCTCACTGAGCCGATTGCAGCTACGCGATGCCGTGCACTGATCCGACGAATTATAGCAACCACGCGTGCGTGTGCATCGTACCAATGCTTGCGCGCGCTTCGCCGAATAACAAAACGAACTACTAATTTAAATTTCCTACGGTGCGTCTTAAGAAGCACCGTTGGAAAGGCCTTCTTTCGTTGATAACTTCAAAATGACAGCTTGCCAGAAAAAAAATAATTTCACAGGGAGGTTAGTCCCCTTACTATCTTTCAACCAAGTATGTTTTTCAACAATAATTATGCCAGTTACTTTTCGGATAGCTGCAAATGATGGACTATAGCTTTAATTCAGTAACAATGAAGACGCAAAAGGCTCACTCATGGATATCTCAGCAAAACAATGGCATTGCCCTCTATTAGAGGGGGGTGGGGTGGGGGTGTGGAGGTACTTACCGGGTACATTGATCTCTCCACGTTCCAGGCCTGGCCCTCCTGCATGTACTTTGTGGGCTCCACCCTCACCGAAGGGGCCTACGGTGAACTGGAAGGGACTTCCTAAAAAGCAAACATACACAATTATATTATACTTTGTTGCCTAAATGATTAAGATTTGGAGAACCCCTAGACAGAAACAATGTTTCTTTTGGGCAATCCTTCGGGAGCTGAATGGTATTTTGTTTTTGTTTGTTTGTTTATGTATCTAAAGCTTCTGTTTTTTTGTGTTGTAACTTTAGTCATTTGTTTACATGTATTTGTTGATTTATTCCCGAGAAATAAATGAGTATAGTATAGTATAGTAAAGCCCGGTTCATACTTCATGCGAATGCGAATGCGAAGCGAATTCGACGTCATGAAGCATTCGCTGCGAAATTCGCCCGAGTTGAAATGTGTTTAACTTTTGATAATTCGCAGCGCGAATACTTGCAATGACGTCACAGATTCGCGTTCGCTTTCGCTTTCGCATGAAGTATGAACCGGGCTTTAGAGCGTATTTTGTCTTTTTTTCACTTGCAAAACTTACTTTTGTTTTTCAAGAATAACAGGCCTGACTGTGCCCCTCTTCTTCAATATAGGTTTTGAAAACAGACAGTTAAAATAAATCCCATCCCATGATGTTTTGAACAATCACTGACACGACTAATGTCCAACAAATCGTCACCGCTTCACGAAGGGACGGGCATGTGGATTTTGAAGAAAAATCGTTTTCGAGATAATCGCAAGAGAAGTTTCTCCGTTTTTAAAACTGCAAAAACTACTACTTTGCAACAACTTTATGCAATAAGAAAACATTGACGTAATTCTTTGATAGGTAAACTTTAATTTGAACCCATTAATTACAATTAATATAGTGGTTAATAAGCCAAAATTAATTAGTAAAGATGCCCGTCCCTTTGTGAAATCGAAAATCTCACTGTTCCACATTTTCGCCCTTCTTGTTTAATCTGCTTTTCCATAGGGAAGGGCGCGCGTGTTCAATTACGCGCGCGCAGCTGAGAATGTAACAAAGATGCCCGTCCCTTCGTAAAATCGAAAATCTCCTGTTGACCTACTTTTACGCCTCTCCGTGCAATACGTTTTGTACGTGTTCAAGGGGCAGGCATGTTCGCGTCTCTTCGTGAAATCGCAAAATGCAATTATCGAGATGCCTGCCCCTAGCGTCATTAATGTTATTCAGGAATTAATGATGTGTTGCAAACTGAAACATATCAGAATGCTTGAGTACCATGTTTTAAAGCAAAATAGTGAAAAAACTCGAAATTGAAAAAAATTGTCAATTTTGACTTGCCCGTCCCTTCGTGAAACCGGTGACGAAATGTCTGACATACGTACATTAGGGCCCGTGACCATTCAGCCCCGGTATGAAAAGGGCCCCCCCGGTTAGCTCGTCCCCTCCCAAGAAGTCCTTTCGTACCGTCCCAGCTACCGGCACAGAAGCTGGTCCGGTTGCTAATTAGGAACTCCTCTATCCTGGGGTCTATTGTTTGCAAGTATTGACACATGTGATATATCCAAGAAGAAACCGGCTTGTGGTTTTCATCTCTCAGCACGAAACAATAGAACACTTTCGTCGGCACAGATCAAAACCCCTGCCATGCGGTTTCGCGCACAATGGGACCGTAAATTATCAAGGCATTATGGAAGGATTTTATCTTTAATCCGGTAAGTCTGCTATTGTTCTGCTCTGGACGTTCTCTGGAGGGCAATAAATTGATGCGCCTGACTGACTTCAAAACTTCTGGTCAGACAGGACCATGTACCGGACGAGACTGGGCTGAAGACCGGACTGGCTTTGGACCGGACGGGGTACCGGGGGGCCCTTTTCATACCAGGGCTGAATGGTCACGGTCCCTTAGTGTGTGACGTGCCTTACTGGAACATGTAGAGGCGCATAATGTGCGTAGTAGGCACAGTTTGTAATCAGTCACAAGAAAATTGTACTTTGTTAACTAGGTGTAGTACCGTACCTGGCACGTGGATGCCTCTGTTTTTGACGCTGACGGTATGCACCCCATCCATGCTGGGAACAAACCGCACAACGTAGCGGCAGTCCGGACCGTCCACTATCTCCGCATCCTCGGTCTGGCCCCGGGGGTTGGTCACCTGTGCTGTCATGTCCAGAGGGTCGGTTCCTAGACAAACAGGAAATGGTACACACTTAAAATTTGTCCGACGACAGAGATGTTTCATATATACATAGAGATGTTTCAAGCAATTCTACAAACAAACTACCAGATTGTACTGCAGCGATGTACAATACGAAATGCAATCATGATTATGTTAGTGATTTTGCCCACTTCAACTGATCTAGGGAATGTCAACATTGGTTTTTAATCACGATGTCCAGACAAAGAGGCTACTCTTCAAACTGGTGAAGTTTTGATGTTTGGTTGAAAAATAGTTATGCCAACCAACTAGAGATTAGGCAGCTGTATGTTGAAGTTAACAGCTCAAAAAAAAAACAAGTATTTTGCTGCACAATTCAAGTTTGCATATTAAGGGACAAATTTTAAAATGATTTTAGTGCTATTCTAAGGCCAAACTTTGCGTGTTGCATTGAAAGAGCGTAGCTCTTCATTTTGTCATTCAGTTTAACAATGTGCTCAATAAATCTTGATTAAAATTGTCTAACTGATCAAAATTGTGAAAGCTTTATAAGTATGTGTAAGTTAGGCAACTTTATATTTGTTTGGTTGAGTCATGTGTCACAACCATGCATTTTGCTCTAGTTATGTGGAAGTTTTGAGCTACGGGCCCGGGATGACCACCCCTTACCTGGGATCTTCAGGCCCAGTTCGCACTCGCTGCCTTTGTGCTGCACGGGCGCAGCGTGGGTTGGTTTGACCATGGTCTCCCCTATCAGGGGCTCCATGGCCGACCCGTCCTCTGGGTACACCTTCACATTGAAAGGGCTTCCCGGGACATCCTGCTCAGCGAAGCGGACGTTGAGCTTGTAGTTGCCCGGCTCGGCTGGCCGGTAGGTCACCGCGCAGGTCCCATCGCCCAGGTCTGAGCAGTTGATCTCGGTCTTGCTGGGGCCTTCGATGGACACGCCCAGACCGCCGTAACCTGTTGGCGACGAGGAGTTGACAGTATACATGGATGATAATGTGCACTATTATGAATAGGTTTTTAACCTTAACTCTACGTCAGTTAGCCATAATTATGCCAATACCATCCACATGGAGTGTACTGGAATATGCCCGTTTGCTTATCCATTCTCTATAAGGGAATATTGTGTTTTGGCAGATGTAATAAAGTGCTATTGATGCATGAGAAATTGTTGAAAAATGCCTGGGGCCGATTTCACGAAATTCGTCTTAACTTGCGACTCATCTTCGGACTAAAGACAAGTCCCTGCTCTAACATCGATCTTAGCTAAGACGCGTCCTAAGACCGATTTCACTTAACCATTCTTAAGCAAGACACATCAAAACTATCAATTTGATGGCTGTTTCATGTTTGTTTTTGCCGCTTGACGAAGCAGTCGTTGAAAAGAAATGCGCAAAACCAACTTCCCGCACGCATGCATAGAGCACAAACTTTTGTCAGAAAAATTACGGTACGTAAGGTAGTTCTACACAAGATACAATAAAGTCAGTCTTGCTCCCTGTTTCATCATTTTGAAAAGTTGACTAGGTGTTGGCGTATGATCAAATTTTGTAAATAAGCTATTGTTATTAAAACTACCCACGTATCATAAATCTTTTCAAATCTGCAGTTTTCCTACTCGAAACTATAACTCTAGGACGACACTTGTCTTTAATGGCAATGATTTCCAGATGATATACAAATTAACACACACATGTTGACCCTCAGACTGATCTTAAGTTAAGACGAGTTCAGTAAATGGAATGGTTTGGGGCTACCTACCTGCATCCCTCGTATCCACAACAAACTCGGCCATCTGACCAGCGTCGGCATCTGAGATTCCACGACCTTTAACCTTGACCTTTGAGGCATCGCCGACCTCCTGGGAGCCCACGATAATCTTGAAGGGGCTGCCGGCGATGGGCCGGTTGAACTTTTTGACGTTCACCAGATGCTCACCGACCTCTTTGGGAGTGAAGGTAATTCCTACCAAAAAAAAGAAGAAAATCACGATACAGACGGTGTTAGAAATGAATAACGGCAATCTTTGTGCAAAGTTTCTGCTGCGTAATACAAAAAGTAGCGTGCGTTAAATCTGAAAGCTTCTTACTCACTTCAGTTTGCTAAAAGTTCCTCAAACTTATGTGTTGCTAAGTTGTTGTGCGCATTGCACCGTCAAAATTTCAGCTGCTAATTCTGACTTTCCAGAGAGTTACTGAGGTCGAAACGTGATACATCAAGTTGATGTGTGTCGCAATGAATTGGGGATATCATTTTATGTTAAAAACAAAAAGACTCCTCAGCTGTAACATTTTCATACTGGTCGTCCTGACGAAACAGCGTCCTCTTGTAACATCCTTGCATTTGTAATACGAATAATATGCTGATTCTATAGAGGGCGCTATATTATTTTGGCCAACGATTAAAAAACAAGTAAGCTGCAAGGTACTTCTTACATTTGACCCACCATACTTGAGGCTCTTATTCACTTACAGTCAAGACAGGTATTTCATATTAATTTAGCTTGTGTTTTGATGTTTGCAAATGTTGTATAATACCTTTACAAACTACTGACCTATGTTTCCATTGGGAAGACGTTTGAGGGCGCAGGGTTCTTCCACGCCACTGGGTGGGGTGATGGTAGCCTTGAGCTGGGACAGATCCGTCTCTGTGATCTTGAGAGGAACGTCGCTTGCTGCACCAATGGACATCATGCTGCCAGCCTTGTCTGGATAGAGAGAGAGAAAGAGAAAGGGCAAAATTTTAAAAGTTAATGATAAAGTAAAGATAAAATGTGAATTTTGCAGTACATATCCAACTTCACAGGTATTGATGTTGGTCCATATCGATAATGAAACATTAGTGGGCAGTGACATCCTAGAGCTAAATTCAAGAGCGGATCCAGAACCATTTTTTTTTGGGGGGGGGGAAGGGGGGGGGGGATGGTAGGCAAGAGGGCTCAAGTATATTTTTTCCCAAAAAGGGAAGGGGTTGAAGTATATACTATCATGTGCTATTTCCACATAGTGATAATAAAACTAAAAGGTATGTGTAGCTGATGGCTTGCGAGGGAGATATGCAACATTTAAATTGATTTCCTGAAAAAATTCAAATATTCATTGGGGGAGGGGGATGGACCACTGCACCAATGTGAAACATTCATCATTTGTTTTATACAACCCCTGAATAAGTGTGACCGTGCAATGGAACTTCCATTTGCCATGGAATGGAACTTCCACTTTTGTCGTACGGCCGCACCGTGCATTGGAATGAGTAATTCAATGACACGTGATCAACAACCAGCCAATCAGATGATGGGGATGTATTCAGGCGTCATATAAATGCACTTAGCAGCTAAATGAAATTGCCCGCTGGTCTATATCGATTTTGAAGCCCTCCCCCTACCCAACCCCCTCCTCCCAATACGACATTAAAAGCAACTGAGCGACAAGAACGAGTTTATCTTACCGACAATGTTGGCTTTGAATGGACTGCCTGCCACGTGCTTGTCAGCGAATTTGACCGTGACCTCGTACTGGCCGATCTTCTGCGGGAAGTAGGTGACATTGCATGTGCCGTCTTTGTTGTCCACACACTTGATTTCAGCCTTGGATGGGCCCTCCACGGCTAGCGCAAGACCACCTAGGAAAGAAATGGATACAGGCATCCAGTTTAGAATCACAGCGGTACTTTCCTCGCCTTCCACCGCTGTGACCCGGGTTCGAATCCCGCTTAGGCCAACATGTGGATTGGGTTTTCAGTTCCTACCTGAGTCTGTGCATTTTCCCCAGAATATTCTTCTGGGCTTTTCCTCCCACCTCTAATACTGTAATTTCTTCTCATTGTCTTCTCTCCACAGGTTTCTTCAGGCTTGCAAGATACAGTGCCTGGGGCACTTTTGAGGAATTTTCGGTTTCATTACAAGAAATGAATAAATACTAATAATAATAAATACAAAAATAATAATACTGATTTAAGGACAAAAACCTTGCTCACAGATGAAACAATCTTAACTGAGAATAGTATCGATCAAAAGAACACAAAGACTTACGATGGTTTTAAAAAAGTGTGCCCACGGGCACACTTTTTTATTGTTATTAATACCATCCTCATTATTAAGGGTGAGACCATGAAATTGGTTCACAGTTGGTTAAATTCATAAATGGGTACACAGATTAAGCGAGTGTCATGCATTGAGTGAAGCCTTGCCGCGTCGGTGCCAGTTATTGCCGGAATCCTTACAAGCTGAATGAGAATCATGTCCAGATTGCTGATTAGGCGATTTTAAGAGAAGGAGCAATTCAAAACATGAAACATGTTTTTGTCCTCACAATTGTGCAGAGCAGAATCTCACATTTCAATGTATTTCTTTGTAGTAGATTAAATAGAAGAGATCCCCAAAGAGTCATACAATTTCCGTTGAATTAGTAGGATTACATTTACTGGAAGGTTGCCAACATTGCAATCTTTTTATAAATACATTTCTAATGGGAAATTCTAATGGGAAGTATTGGCATAAGTTTGTATTGTTTGCATCAGTGGAATGAACCAATAGTTTCATGACTATGTCTTCTCAACGTGAGCAATGACTTTCAGCAGTGACTATGTGTTAATTGAAATCGTTGGCTGGTCACCATTTCGAAACCTACCTGGTCCCGCATCCTTAGTGTTGACGGTAAAGACAGCTGATTCCCCGCAGATTCCATGGGTCAGACCGGTACCGTAGGCCGTGGCCTGACCACTCTTCAGCTCATCAACATGGAACTCAAATGGACTTCCTATTATTCAAAACAAAAGCAATAAACAAATTTACAATGGTGCTGCTTAAATTACATTTTATCAGCCAGGAGTTACATGTACGTGTAATACTTTTGGAAAGTTGGATGGAAAAACATGCAAAATTTGCTACATCCAGCTCGCCTTATCATATAATGGTGTTTAATTTTGAATAACCAATATCAAATTGCTTGGAATTAGTGCCAATGTCATGGATCTGCTAGACATATAAAGTAAACACAGAAAAATGTTTTCTCAGCAAATACAGGTTAGCGGGCGATAGGTCCTGTGCTACACATGGCTTGTGACTGTTTTCTACTGATATTCACTTTGTACACCGACATTTCCAAGCAAAACCGCCATATGGTTGCGAGGGTAAAGCTTGGCTGGTTGTCAAGTAAAGCTAATCCGATTACGTACTTAAACGCTGTAACAGAGCAGTGAAATTCGTGAACCCCACAAAACATGGCTTTTTGAACATTGTGTTTCTCAGAAAATATGCTCAGTATGATTGAAATGTTCAATTATAACAGAAGAAGAAATTCTAATCTCTAAGACTGAATCAAATCCAGTCTTGGCAATATTGGCAGCGCTACCCAGGAAATTCCAAGCATACCTCATGCGCACGCATGAGCTTGAATACAGTGCGCATGAGGTATGTTCAGAATTTCCCGGGTAGCACTGCCAATATTGCCGAGACTGGATTTGATTTATCTTGTTGATAGCGACCTCGCTTGTCACGGACTGGCTGTAAATGAGAAATAAAATAGAAAATCCAAGTCTAGGTAAGAAGCCAAAGTTTCTAACATGCACACGCATGGCAAGATACCCCACAAAATGGCCACTACATATACACAGATACATGCATGTCCAAAAGATGCGCTAAAAAAACGGTCAGGAAAAACTTGGTGAGTACCAGACTTGTATTCGAGTCCTCAACTCTTGAGTGCGAGTCCAGAGCCCTGAGTTATTTAGACCAGGTCCGAGGATGAGTCCGAGTCCAAGTCTGAGTCTGAAGCCAAATCCGAGTCACCAAATATGAGATTAGATTTGGACTAAAGTCAATTCTAAGTTACAAGTCATACATCTCTGTTATCAAACAAACGATAATTTATTTTGCTGTCTTACCTGGTACATGGTTTGTTCCATACTTGATGGTCAGTTCATGTTTGCCAGTCTCCTGTGGCGCATACTTGACTGTGATGTGTCCGTCTTTGTTCTCAGTGATGGTGGGTACGTCCTTCTTACCCGAGGGTCTCTTGACCTCACCTTGAAATGAATTGTGGGAAAGGTCAGAGGTCACACCAAGTACGTTTGCAGTAAAGAGTTCTTTGTCCCATCCAAATTTCTTGGCTACATGCTCCTATGGAAGCGGCTATAGCACTTCCCATAGACGCATGTGTAACTGCCGACTGTGACCAAGTTATTCAGATGTGACCCTAACTTCTTGTTTACTATTTTGATTTACATATTTGCATATTCATACCTTTGCTATGGTTCTGAATGTGCAAATTTGCCTCCCCCCCCCCTCAACATAGTATACCTGGCACAAAAAGAAACAGTTTTTATATTCATCCTTTGTTTGGACATTTCTCGGTGAACAAAAAATCTGAAATATACGTTTTGTCGCAAAAACTTTCCGGTTCAATTTGATACCTCACTTGGGAACAATGTGTATAAAATAATGAGAGCGCAAGCGCTGAAGGTCATGAAACCCCCAAACTAAAAGTTGCACAAATTTTCAATGGGCATTGCAACGCACAATTGAATGCAATGATGCAGGCCCCGCATTCAATTGTGTGTTGCAATGCCCATTGAAAACCTTGCTAAGTGCAACTTTTAGTTTTGAGGTTTCAGGAGCTTCAGCGCTTGCGCTCTCGTTATTTCTTACACAGTGTTCCCAAGTCAGGTATCAAATTGAACCGGAAAGGTTCTGCGACAAAACGTTTATTTCGGCTTTTTGGTTCACCAAGAAATGTCCAAACAAGGATGATTCATAAAAACTGCTTAGTTTCATTTTGTGCCAGGTGTACATTCTGTTAAAAATAGCATAGTAAAGACAACTGAACTTGATCCCAATTCTATATGACATTTTCCCACTCAAAATATGAGGATCCCAGTGGAAGTAAATGGTTCAATAATTTTCACCTGAAAAGATTTTTGGGAAGGTTAATATCAAAGGTTAATTCGCAATATCCAAAACAGACTCAAAATAATGAAACACAGAACAAAATATAAACTGAAACGAGACACCGACATCACCAAAACAATTCATAACATAAATAGGTGCCGTGGGCGAAAAAGAAATTAAAAAATTATGGCCAATACAAAGAGCTGTGAAAAGAGAAGAAAATATGTTGGCAGTAACATATGAAACAAAACACAGAACATAAAGAAGCAAATTATACAAGTTTTTGTAGGGGAAAAAAATTAATTAATTGTTACTGTTGGAGGAAAGAGATGAATTAGTACAAGCGCCCGTCGCCCAACAAAATTTGCTGAATAAGCTCATCGGCTGATGAAGCTGTGTATAAAAAAGAAAATTAGAAAATTAGTTGTTAACTGTACCCAGAACGTGTTGACAAGTTTATAGAATGCAGTGCATAATTTATTTTACTGTGTAATGGCACATTTTTTGAATAATTCTAAAAAATGTCAAATTAGAAATTTGAAGAATGAAAAATTATTCCAGTTTGTTGTTACCAAAACCTGGCAAGAGAGAAAGTTCCACGACATAAACACATGTTAGTCAACTCAGTACCCAAGTTTACCAAAACCAAAAAATAGCACAAGAAGAAGAAAAAAATACTGTTCGCTTTCACAGAAGCTATGTTTCTAAATTCAGTCGGCAACTGTGGAAGATCTCAATGAACAATGTGACACGTCGTTTTCGACCAAAGAGTGTATTTCGACTTAAGTTAAATACTTCACGGGGATGCGTATCTGAAGCTATAATTCGATGTAAAGCATTTGCTGCGAAATTCGCAGAGTTGAATGTGTTTTAACTTTTGTGAATTTGCAGCACCACCACTTGCCGTGATGTCACGAATCTGCATATGTAACACACCGACCTTGTTTTTATGTTGTAGTGAACTGGATGCTTATTTCAGTGACAATCCCTCTATACAAATCTCTTTGTGTTTTTTTCACCTTTACAAATGAAAACACGACAGGGCAAATTCTAAGCTTCAACAAATATTAATTGTCCACTTATCCCCAATAAATTTCCACTGGTCTATGATACATGTATACAGTCAAATTATTACCGATAGAAAGTTAAGATTAGTGTACCCGATTCAACGTGACTGTACTGTAACAGTCTTCATAGTCAACACCGCTGAAGAAGTTAGTAATTTTGTCGTTAAAGGCTGAAGTGCGTAAAGCATTGTTTTGCTTTAGTAGATGATTGCCGTGCTATTACTCAAGAGTGACGGATTAAAGGGACATTATTTTGAGAAGTCAATTAGCCGAATGGCATTAACGAGTGTCTGCTACTGACTGATATCAGAGGGAAAAAAAAAGAGGGGCGGGGGCTTATTTCCTGCGCGGACTCACCATTGAGGTCTCCGCTACGGTCAAAATCTTCCGGAACCTCCACTTTGAAGTTCCGATCATTGGGGGTCCCCAGTGGGGAAACCCCGTTCTCTTCTCCTGGCTTGTCTGCGAACCGGTCGCCCAACCAGGTAAATGGCTTTTTCAAAAAACTTTTCAACCCTGAACCTGGGGAACTCGGAGGTCCTGCCATGGGGGAAAATTACGGTAAAATTTGAAATTTCAACATTTGTACAATGGGTTCGTTACCACCTGTTAGTTGTAAGAAGCTGAAATATATTTTTTATTCCATTTGAATCAATATTTTTTTCCATTGAATCCACTGAATCATCTAGTACGCATTTCATCATCTAAATTAATCCATCTTATCTGTGCACAGCCCAGTAAAGGCTAGCAAGCTTATTGTATACAGTTGATTACATTTCTATTCTACGGACTTATCGGTACTTATTCTGTATTCAGCGTATCTTTCAAATGCGTTTTCAAATGTGAACCGGTGTATATATTAAAAAACATGAATATTCATGGGAAGTTAGAATATTCAGAGAGTAATGAATACTCAAGTCACCTGACTCTACTTCATCTACTTTGTCTTGGGTGATCCCTTCGTCGATTGGTTCTCCCTGCTGTTCTCTCTGCGGTTCCCAACCTTCAGGGACATCCATGAAAGCTCCGAAATTAACTCCTGCAAATTACCATGGATAGTTCCATTACCAATGAACATTTGAACAAGAAGCGGAAATTTAATAATAAATAAGTAATTGTTCATAGATACAAATAGACTTAAATTGCTGAAACATTTGTGAAATCACCAGAGATCTCTTACCCGATTCCACCGGTTGAATCTCCTCTCTTCCCACAATTTCTTCCACCACCGGTTCTCCGTTCTGCACGGGAGCGCCATTCTCCAAGGGCCTGCCTTTGTCTAAAAGATATTTTGCTGGTTGTCAGTACACGAAGAGCATCCTCAAAATGTATGGCATTATTATATACTTATATATAAAAACAAAGACAAGTGGAGATTTTGAAACAGAAAGCTTTTCCAGAAGTCAGTTCAACGTTGCATGATCATTATTAGTAGCGGCAGCTGTGCAGAAACCTGTGTAACAGAAAGATACTGCAAAAAAACTTATTTGGCAGAAGAGGTATAGCCCTGTGCTAGTCGCTGTAGAGGAAGAAAACGCTGAACTAACATTAATTTGCAAAGTGTAAAATGTTAACTGTAAGGTGGAGTTAACTGTGCTGAACAAGTCATTGCGTTAATTTCTTGAAAAGTATAGACCTTTATCATGCTGCCACCAATTCAGTCATGTTCCCTGTATCCAATAAAAGTACTGAATGATAAAGTTTTTTTGTGCAAAAAGGAACCAGACTATTTGTCCTTCCAGCCTCACTTTGGTTACATTGATGCCACCATTTCAGTCATGATCCCTGTATCCAACAAACAGTACTGAATGATATTTTTAGTGCAAAAAGGAACCAGACTGTTTGTCCTTCCAGCCTCGCGTTGGTTACATTGATTTGAATGGGACAAAGTCAAATGGCTACAACATGATAATGGTCTATTGCTGAATCTTTTTGAGGAAAAGAACTTGACAATGGATAGATGTGAAAGTCATGGTTACACCTTACAGAAGCGGTCATTTCTAAAAAGGACGTCCACGATTTCCATACAGCACAGAGATCGTTGTCAAAATTCTTAAACAAAACAAGTCTCGAAATTAATTGGTCGTAAACCAGTTTCATTAACATGTTAATTCCATGTATTTAATGTAACCAGCCACACCTACATGTAGTTAGTGGAAACGCAAACCCAGTTCTAAATGAATTTAATTTTGTTAAAAGGCATGTACATGTATCAGTAATGCTGTGCTATGTACTGCACAGGACACAAGACTCTTTTTACCAAACTAATTGATGCCTACCCAAAACAAAGGAAAAGGGGAATTGTTTGACCAACCAAGTTATCGCGGGTCCTCTGTTGCACACATATGACCCATATGCTTTCAAAAAATTGTTTGTGATAGGCAAATTACAGATACAATAAACATTTTTTTTTTCAGGATAAAAATTGTGAAAAAGTTTTGATTTCAGAAAGCAAGCTACTTTGGTTTTGCCCTCTTTTGGTTTTTTTTCCAGAAATTGTGAGCTTTCTTAAAAACTGAATGACTTTCCACTCCGTTGAATATTAAGCACAAGCTTATGTTCTTTTATTTAGAAAGTGTAAAGATGATCAAAATTCAAAATATGATTCCTTTTTTTAGTTCAGAAATAAAAATCAAACTGAAGTTTCCCAGCCACCAAATCCAAAGGAAAACACACACAAGCAAACAACCCTACCCAGGCGCCAAACAGACTACATGTGTGTACGTTAGAAAGTTGGACATTAAACATGGTGAGTATTTCTTCCATGTTCTCTGGTTAGCTTTCATGAAATGACACCCAGCTTCTAACACATGTATATTAACCAAAGATGTCCAAAACACTAACAACACTAACCATTCAGCCCAACTTTCAATACACACTAAAGCTGTGATTGTTCTGTTACCAATGCCTCCCAAATGCAGGATACCATTGAAATTTAAACCTACAACCATAGCATCATTTTTCCTCAAATTGCGAGACAGAGTGAATTACTAGTAATAAGGTGCTTATGAATATGCAAAGCCTTGCAGTGACAATGTCCAATCAGAGAACAGCAATGTTCAAAACTCCTCCAATCACCACCTGAATGTTAAAACTATATGGCATCCTATTGTCTTCCATATTGCCAAGGGACAGAGTGCATGACGTGCTCATGAATATGCAAAGCTTTGAAGTGACAGTGGCCAATCAGAGAACAGCATGTTCAAAGCTCCACCAATCACCACTCACCGTCCACCTTTTCGGAGTCACTGGGCAAATCATGGACAAGGTCCCAGTCCTCATTGGCTGCTTTGTTCTTGTCCCCTTTGTCCCCAAACCGGTCGCCCAATCGCCGGATGGGCTCGGTGACTCGATAAAAGAACCCTTTTGCAAAGCTTGGTGAGGCCGGCTCTGTTTTTATTGTAACATACATTTCAGTGAAAAGATGAACAAAAAAGTCTGACTAAGGATGCTAAAAACTCCTTTGGAAAAGTATTCATGTTTTCCCTGTCATTTCAGACTTGGTAATTGTCTATTATTTATTAATAACAAAACAATTAAAAATATTAAGTTATTAAATTATTAAAAAAAATAAATCATTGAGTTGGTTAAATTGGTTTAGCTTAGTTTTAGTATTTGAGTAGGACTTCATAAAAAAATTGAAATGAATTGGATGAAATTCAAAGCATTTTTGGACCTTCATTCATGTCACTAGGCGATGAATAACTCAACTTAACAAAAATTTGTAAAGTTCACATGTTGAAAAGCAGCTTATCATACAAAGCAGGAAATCAAAATAATAAATTTAAGTAAAAAGTAATTTTAAAAGCCAATGAATCATGTAATTTCAGTTTACTGGATAGCTTTGAAAAAAACCCAAAAACATAACGGGCGGGTGTGGCCATCCGGAAATGATTTGCATTGCCTAATCTAGCGCCAAGACCTATGATCTTTACACTCAATGGTTCTTGAGTCTGGAGTGCTGAATGGTAACGCATAGCAACCGGTGAAATGTTGTGTGCAAATGAACAGATGTTTCACCGGCTGGTGTGATCCCGCCCATGTCTAGAGTAATATACCTGTTTTCAAACTGGTACCCCTTCCATTTTTGTACAATACATATACAGAGGGACCAGTGAGGGCTATCCATTCAGCTTTAATTTTGTGAGAAAATCTGAGAAACAATCGAGTAACTGATTCACAACGCCCCAGGCTCTCACCAGATTCTTCAGCCCCGACCTGATCTTTGCCAATGACTTCTTCTATTGGTTCTCCCTTTGGTTGGTCATTCTCATCTAATGAATATTCATAAGCAAGTTATTGGTATTACTATTGCATATATGTATTTATGGTAATGAGACCAAGGATTCTTCCAAGAAACCTGTTGAGAGGAGATAAGAAAAATGCAAGAATTATTTTTTTGGGGGAAACCCACAGTAGCAGCTTGGACCGACCACCAAATCTGCAATTCAAATACCGTATATGATGATCTTTATTTCTCTTAAAAATATATCCTGTTTTGTAGCCACAGACAGTGTGACAAGGTGAAACTGTCAAACATCATCCTTCAAACAAACCTGTAAAAAAAAAAACCAGTTGTAATAGTTAATTAGTTTATATGAGGGGGAAAAAGGGTTATCGGAACGACAAAAAGTTTGCTGACACTCAGGTTTGTTCTGCTGCTTAGAGGAAAAATAACGATTAAGAATAAACAAAAGTACAAATATTCAAACATTTTCTACATCTAACTGGCAAAGATTTACACAGTTTTACATTGTTTAAATCAATGTTAGTATACGACACATTGGACACAAGTTTTTTTTAAATAACCCACACCACCACACAATATTTTTAAAATGATTTATTAATTAAAGTACAAAGTATTAACACAATTAAGTCTGATTTAGAAATTTGAATAAGAACTTACCTAAAACCCCAAAACCAGGTCATAAGAGAGTTACACACATGGTTACATACATGTACATGTACGTATTAAGGTTTTTGACATTAACATTTACAGGTGTTAACATTAATTAACATATTCTTTCCGTCAGTTTGGAAGTTAAAATGAGACAAATGTTTTATCACCTTTGTCGAAAAAATCCAACTCATCAAATCCGTAGGGAATATCCATAAAAACATTATCATTGTCTCCTGAAAAAAGGAAAATCCAGGCATATTGATTAGCACAGTTGAACTTAATTTCAGAAATAACATAACTCAATTGAAATGTAAATATTAAAGTACTCTTTTGAACACTTTTCATCCTGGTAACCCAAGTATCAAAAATGGTCTACCGTAATTCAATTCGTGCCAAACACTTGTAAATTCTTATTTCTTGGAATGCTTCCATAATCTGAACTAGTACATTTTTGTCAAAATAATTCTAATTCTCGCATCCTGTAAACTCAATAGTTCCTGGAGTTTGTTTTTTTAACATCTCATACAAAACGGGTGAAAAAACGACTAAACCCATAAATATGGACAAAAGATTCCCATATTTCTTTTTACAACACTATAACATTACTGAAATTGAACTGAAATTGAACAGGGTGAGTCAAAAGGGAAACCAAAACAACTTCTTTTCAAAGAAAGAACTAATTTATTTAAACATATCCAACCCTCTGATTGGTTGATCTCAGCTTCAAAACTTCCTCCTGAAAACGAAACAAAAACAAAAATATGATTTGAAACTTTGCAAGGTGGTAAACTAGTGAGGCTTTGCATTAACAGCATGTGGAAAATTCTCTTTAAAAAGATATCTGGTTCTTTTCCAAACCACCCATCTTCTCAAAACAAAATATCAAACTTAACAGACTAGCTACACATGTCATGTTCATGGTCATGTACATGCACATGTGTGAACATGTAAATGTACACGAATAGTTAACACATAAATAAATAATACAAATAAAACAAACCCTGAAACACTGCTTAATGCCACTTAACTGTAAAATAAGTACACAGGGCGCTAAAATACAGTTCTAGAATGAAGGTTATTTACTCTTTAAGCTAATGGCTTCATAATTTTCAATTCAGAAAGTGACAATGAAAATCAAGGAAAGCTTTTAATGTATTCGGCTCCCATTCATGACTGCATGATTTGATGTAATAACAAATAAACATGTAATAGCAAAGTCTTTAAAAAACTTACTTGGGGACCTGGATCCTCTCTTTAAGGAAACTTTACTCAGAATCTTCCTCAGACTTTGTCTTTTGACTGACTTGGGATCTTCTCTTTTATCCGCTGAATCTAAAAGGGGAAAAATTTCAAAGAAACTCGAATTGGAAAGAGAACAATTAGTTGTCCATAATTCGCATATCTGGCTCAAATTTCTAAAAAAATTAATAAATAAATAAAAAACCTGACTTTGGTAATGCTGAACAATGCTCAGGGCTCAAAATACCTACTTAAAAGATGGACCTGAATGCAAAAATGTAGTTGTCCGTCAACCAAACTTATGCAACTTAATCTTCCCTTCGACAGCACAAGAGAGTACCTAAAATTTCACAGCAATCCATCTACTGTTGATGCATGGAGTGCATACATCAATCCTTGAATCAAAAACTGTACATTTAAGGTGCATCCCAATAATGCTGTAAGGCATGTTACTCTTAACAGTAACTAGTATGATGCTTTCTTCACAACCCATCCAAGTTTCGCAAAACCACTTTTGCCCATAAAGTTAGAGGAGGTACCCCCCCCCCCCATCTCCCTATACCCACCCTAGACTATTTGTTACCTATTTTAAACATATCCCCCCAGATATCTCAACAGAATTCCTGAGATTCTGGTAACACAATGACAAACAGAAAAGAAGGAGGTTCCCTCTGTCCCATATCGTGCTACAAATGTGGACAACACTTCAAATCACTGCACAATTCTTGCTCATGACAAGCAGGCAAATTCGGTCATTCTTCACTGCTCTCCACAGTGCTGTTTTTTGTGTGCACTGACTCTCTGTGTGACGCAGTTAACACTTCATATCCGTTCACCTGAAACTGACCTGCAGGATTTTAAAGGGTTCACATATTGCACTAAACACCGACTTCCCACTATGAGGGTTAATTAAAAGTTCCAAGTGTGAACAGTGATAAGCCAAAACCCACCAGTAAAATCAAACAAAACCATTAACTTACTGGGCTCCTCACTATCTGGTTCAACAAAATCCGAGGATGACCCGTATGACTTGGATCTGCGTTTCTTGATGGCATCTTTGAGTTTGCCGCTCACAGAACTCGTCCGTTTTGGTGACCTCATGGTCACTATGTGCACCAACCCTGTGCCTGTTAACAGATAAACAATTATTATCACATATTAACATTCTAAAGCAAAGGTGTCATCACTAAATACTAAAATGGTACAGTGTGTGCAACTTTGTACAGTTTCCAGCTCTTCTGCATATTAAATGAATTAATACTGAAACAAAATATGCATGTAAGTTGACTGGATTTTGGTGGTTACAAAAAAAAAATCCTTATTTTAAAAACTGATGCGAAAGGTCAACATGTAAAGATATGTAACCCTTTCTAGAATGGGAAAAATTGCATCAGTGCAATGAAAATCAATAGTTATATACCGTAATTGTATGAAAATTACTAAATTGTTTTATGTTATCACAGTTTCAATAGCTAGATTATCATATTTCAATTAGGAATACTCTGAAGCACTGAGTAAAATACGCCATGCATTTTACTTACTTTTTCTTTCTTTAAACTTTGGTTGTTTTTTTCTTAAGTCATTCCTATTTTTATTTACCCATTTAGCTTTGATTAAAAATTGGAAAGATTCTATGAAAAGAACAGAAACAAAATATGGCTTTAATATGGTATATAACTTACCTTCCACTAGGTCTGGTTCAGCAATCTCCCCGTGGTCTATAACTCCATCCAAATCAAATGGGTCTTCAGCATCTACAGGACCAAAACAGAATCAAGAAAAATACCAACTTCTTGCTCACAATATTAACTGACCTCAACTTCCATGATCAAACATTCTCTAGGTGCTCTTCTATTACTAGAAATGTGAAGCCTGCTGATTCCAACACGACTCGATATGTACGGCAATACATGTACATGTATGTACGGTGTTCAATTCAGTGCAGAAATTACATGTATGTGCTGCGGATCTTGTAGTATTGAACATAGTGTGGGTAACATTTCTAAAGGTAGACCTATCAATGTACATTTCATCTTATCAAAGTATAACTAAAAAAGGTCAAAGCAGTTACTCTGTGCCAACCTTTTTAAGAATTAGAACTACAACCATTAGCAAAATACCCCCTAAAAACCCAAACAAACAAACAAACAAACAAACAAACAGCACATAAATATTCACCTGCCCAACTCCTGTCCATCTTGTACACAATTTTCCCTTCTGAATCAGATCGTCGTGGTTTCTTCACTAAACTTTTTAACAAGCCTCCAACACTTCTACGCTTTGCCATTTTGGACATTTCTGTGTTGAAAGATAGTACTTGTGACTCCAACTGTCCTTTATAAAGTCCAATGGTTATTTTGAAGATATTTAAAACTTTTTATAAAACATTCTATTAATTTTTTTTACAACTGTATGGTAAATTTTGATGAATAAACTACTAACAGCCGTATTTGTATTTTATTTTCTCCCAATTTTGCGAATAAAAAAACTGCATGTTAACTAAGTCTTCGACAATCTAAAGAGATCCAACTAACGGTACGTTTGGGTGATGTGCTTTCAATTGTTATTTTTTAAAGGGAATTAAAGGGAATGTACAACATTTGCTTTTGCTTCAATTTTCATAAATAAATGGATTTGGAGGATTGATGTTATAGCAAATATTGTTAAAATGACTTGTTTCACGTTTTGGGCTTGTAGATGCTGGAAAAACCAAGAAAACCATTCATGTTCTTGTAGTCTGGTTCCCTGACCCCAATTAAGATGAAACAGAGAATTTATAGACTTTGGGGAATTGTAAGGTCAGAGAATCAGTCTAGCAGGCTTGTACCCCTTCACAGGTGATGTGTAATGAATTGCAAAGAGTTTTTGCAGTTTTTGCACCAAAGAGCTTGCAAGCAGTTCTTGAAAAAAGCTAGTTTTCTCCAACGCTGGTCGGCTGGAAAAATACAATTTTTCTTGAAAATGTCAGCACACCAGGAGCCACGATTTTGCAGGATGCTTTTGACTGTCATTCCCTTACAATCTATTATGGTATTTTGTGACAATCTCATCATTTCATTTTGTGATGTTTGCAAATGTTGTATCTTCCCTTTAAAAAGCATGTGCTATATTGTCCGATTTGAACAAAATTTTGAACTGCCAAATTCATAACGTAATTTTCCAACAGAAAAATATAATACTGCATTCTATAAAATGAAATCAACTTTGAATATTAACCAACTCCTTCAGATTTCAACTGGAATTGCTACATTGTGTATTTTGTAAGACAACACCATGTAAAGCAAAGGCCTAGATCCATGGTTAGGTTGCACTCATTTCTTAAGAATTGGTTTTAAAACTTCCAGCACTTAGATTTGGCAATGGTATGATTGGCACAGCAATGGTATATGGCGAAATCTTACCTGGTTGTTCCTTGAAAACATCATCGATATCAACGACATCGATGAAATCAACCGTTGGCTTTTCATCACGGTACAGGTCTCCCTCCTCGCTTGTGACATCAAAGTCACGTGCGCTAAAGTCTTACGAAAATGAACGTTGTTGTGTGTTTGTAAATGAACAATGCTGATGTAACATTCTGAAAAGCAATTTCTTAGTTTGGACGATATGGATCAGTGTGTTAATTCATCAATGTCTTGTAATTACTGCAAGGCTTATTGGGCATCATACTAGAGAGAGATTTGAAAAGTTGTTTGATATGTATTGATATGCATGAACAATGCCATTGTTATGAACATCCTGGCTATATGTACATTTGAAGAGAGCATTAAAGCAAGTAAAGTGAAAGAGGTTCTTCTTATTCGGTATGGTACATGTTTAACACTTTCGGTGAAAATTCTTTAAAAATTAGAGAAACTGGTATTTTGGTAGACAAAATGTCCCTTGAATACAGATTCCTTGTTCATCAATGTTCCCTTCAACAGTTGTGTAAAAGTCAGATACTAAACAAACATTGCATACCACTGATAACAATGAATTTTTAAAGGTATTTCAACCAAATTATGTTTGCTTATATGTGAGGCATTCTGACAAAATGAGACAGAACTAGGGCACAGGCCGTAATGGAATCAAATGCAAAAAAATCAAATTGGGGTGATTTTTTTTCTTCAGTTTTCAGATTACTGATATTTGTAGACGGCGAAATCTCACCTGGTTGCACCCCTTGCTCCTCGATAACATCATCGATATCAACAGTTGGCTCTTCATCGAGGGCTGCATCCTCGCTTGTGACTTCAAAGTCACGTGCGCTACAGTCTTACGAAAATGAACGTTTTTGTGTGTTTGTAAATGACATTCTCAAAAGCAATTTCTTAGTTTGGTGGATATGGCTCAGTATGTCTTTTGATAACTGCAGGACTTATTGGGAATCATACCAACAAGCCTGTTACTAAGAAGGAGCCCAGGGCATCCCCCCCCCCCCATCGGACCGGCAAAAAGCATAAGCGTTAAAATTATCTAAAATTGTGTTGTTTTCTTGTGATGTGCACCCCTAGCTGGCACTGTGCCCCCCCCCCCCCCCTGCCTGAAACTGGCCACCAGGCTGCGTACCACAGTGAAATTGAAAGCTTGTTTGATATTTATTGGTACGCATGAAAAATTCCATTCTTATGAAGAGCCGGGGTACATTCAAATAGAGAATCACACGCGCAATGTCAAAGAAGGTCTCTTTGTTTGGTATCAAAGCTTTCTGAGAAAACTCTTTATAAAATACGGAAACTGGTGTTTTGGTAGACAAAGTGTCCCTAGAGTAGCTTTCTCTTGTTCCTCCATGTTCCCTTCTATACCAGTTGTGTAAAATCAGACACTAAACAGAAGTTTCAAGCAAGCGATGTCAATCATTTTCAAGTATTTCAACCAATTAATATTTGCTTATTATTACTTCAGTAACTACTCCAAATTTAGTCCTATTGGACTCCAATTTTTGGCGATCTGGAAATGATCCCCTGTCCTCACCTACTCCCATTGTCCTCGTCACAGCCATCACATTGACACACATGACTGTCCGCACCCTCTTCTTAAACGTGCCATTGCTGCTTGATGGATCACCTGCTAGACATTGTGTTAGTCAGTAACATCCATTCACATGTATACATGAAAAGCATCTACAAATCTTGCAAAGAAACATTTACAATATACAGCAGCCACACTTCTTGGTAGTTTCAGTATCCTTGCTGACTAGTGATGTTCTGTTCTCCTGAAGCAGCTGCAACAGTCCTTCATGATGTTATATTCACCTGTTTTTACATTATTCTAGTTCAGTGTGTGCTGTGCATAGAATTGCAGGAGAAAAAAGTGGTTACGTGGCTTTTTTGGAAGAGATGGAGTGCTTTAGCTTAAGCCGTGTCTCTGCACTAGCAGCCGATTTCACGAAACAGTGTGTAACTTACGCCATGCGTAAGAATTACCTGACCAATTTATTGCTCAGCTGCACAATGAACTTACGGTCAATTTCACGAAACTTGGCGTAGCTGCGCAACGTTTTAAATAATCCAAACATCTTGGACGAGCATAATAACAGCATTTACGATGGTTGTTTGTGTATGATTTTGTTTGGCCATGAAACAGTCGTTGAATCACCTCCGCCTGCCATTTTGAAAATATTTTTGTCTGACTTTCTTCGGAATCGTGTGTGAACTCTAAAAACTCTGTCGTGATTCTTTTACTTCAAACATAAAGTTGTGAGTGTCTTTCAATCAACCTTGATAAGTTGCACAATAACAGGCGCCACGACGATCACGAATTGCTGGTAAAATAGGTCATTTTCAGTTGCTAAGCAACAAAGTTACGCCACCAAAAATGATTGCGCAACTTACACCATAATTTTTTGCGCAACTGGCCGACTTACGCACTATGAAACTTTCGTGAAATTGTCATAAGTGAAATGCAGAGCAGTGTGAAATGTTTGCAACTTGGGCAATAAACAGTGGCGCAAGTGGACTTATGCCACTGCAATTTCGTGAAATCGGCTACAGGGAATCAGTCAGGTTCAGAGGTTCAGGGAACCAGATATTGTTCTGTGAAGTACAGTGTGGCCAGGTCTAGAATACTTGGCCACAGTCGGCAGTAACACACGGTTCTATGAGAAGTGGCTGCAGCTGGTTCCATAGGCGCATGTGCAATAAACAGCCGTAGCCACAAATAATTTGGAAGTAGCCTAAAGGTACTAGTAAAAGTAGGCACTGCAAAGCAACTTTCTACACTGCATCAGTGACATCTGGCCAGCACCACCTAGACTACTAAAAAGAAAACACTTGGACTGGAAAATTTCTAGCACAAAACTAACAAAACACCACATAACGAAAACATGACACAACCAAGCAATGTGCAATGCTTGGGTCACACTACTGCAATACATGTATCCACAAACTGTACTCAATGCATAATATTTTATGAAGCAAGAAAACAATTGAAATGCTTTAAATGTCACTACCACCTGGTAGAACCGGTTCCAGCTAGCTTGCACTGGCGTGATGCTGTTTCCAAACCTGTGATATGATTTTCCACCTGTTCTGCCAGCTTTCCACCAGTTCTGTGGCTGCTGAAATGCTGCTGTCAATAAGAAATAACACTCAAACACTGCTCTATACCCACTTACAACACTGTCAGCTGTTGTGCTACAATGATGGCCTGGACCAGCCAATTTTCCAATCAACTTTAACGTGAAACGCTGTCAAAGTACAGGCAGCATTCACATCCTAGACAGAAGCAGTGTCTTACCATTGATGTTACCGTAGCCAGCTCCCAGCACAGGCAGCTGCAGCTCCAAGGGACGACACTCAGATGGCATGACGGTCTCCGCGTCGATAAGGTCTTCAGGTGGTCCTTCCGCAGCCTGAATACAACCAAAAAGGCAGAGAGAAACACAAACGGTTTATTCAACTGGATTAGGAATTTAATACTGAGTCTGTCTTTGAAACTTTCCAGTTAGCTATGGGCCAAAAATGTCCTAATAATAATAATTATAATAAAAAAAATGATGAACCTTTGGCAAAGCGCCGGTATCCGCCAGGCATGACACTCATGGCACATACATACAAAAAAACCCATGTTAATTACAAAAACATCGTAGAAATAGATGGGTTTTGAGGTTAGATTTGAATGTGGTCAGGGATCTCATTTGGACAGGAATGTCGACAAGGATTTCATATCCGGAATGCATTCCAATGGTCGAGGTCAAAGTGCTTGCTCCACAAATTAGTTTGAAAGGCAAAACAGGGGCTGGTCTAGGTTTTAGGAAACATGGTGGAGAGTTTGAGGGCTAGGGGGGTCTGGGGACATGTCCCCAGGAAAATCTGAATATCTACGATGCTTTCTCCTGCATCCAAAGGCAATTTGAGAATGAATTTAGGAACTTTAGTATTCAATTTATTATGTTTTGTCACATTTTGTTAGTATCATAACCTTAGTAAGCGGCTGAACAGTTGCAAACCCCTATAGATTGTGTAAACATTTTTTACCAACAAGACCAGATGGTTTTACAATGTGAGTGACACTATTGGTACGGTACATGTACCTGTGAAGAGGCAAAACCCGTATAAGAGTTTTAAGAGTAAAACGTTATAGGAAAAAGACTTTTATAATAAGTTTCAGGTGCCATTTTGAAAATTAAAACACAATACAATTAACACTTAATGATGGCTTATGCCACACAGCTGTTTTAACTGGTTTTGAAACTGAACTGTGTGAAACTGAACTGTGTTAAATTCCTGATAAGAAGTTTTGAAGTGATGAAGTCTTTTTCAATTCGCATTAGCCTGGTTCTGTTGTCATGGTTCTTCCATACTAGTTTAACAGTAATGCTCAGTATGCGTACTGTATGTAGATGTACAGTGGAGAAAATAAACAGCATTAAGAACATGTGATGGCCACATCTGATTGACATATGTGCAAAATCCGTCTGGAGGCCATGCTGGAAGTGTACACAGATACATTGCTGTCAAAACACGGAACGTCAAAATTACAAGCGATGATGTCTCACTGGGGCAGCATGGTATTTGTGTACGTGACACAATGCCACCAGGCACCACTTAGTTAAACAAGTGCATTTCCCAGCTGTCAATACACAAATCTGGAATTCTGGCATTTTGTAAATCCTGACTTTGAGCTCTGCTTCTGCATTGATTTGTGATATTTTCCCTTCAAAAAAACTCTCCTGGTCTCTAGCCTGGTCAAAAATAGGATTTTTATTGTAACAATATAATTTTTCCCCTTTTACAGTGAAGGTATACATTTTTTGAAAATGGACATTCCTTTGCAAAATTATGCCCTTTTGAAGTTTGCAATCTTACTTAGGTCAAAACAGAGAAATCACATTATGTTTTGGGTTATGCATGCATGTCTTGAAATGCAACTTTTCAAATTCCATTTAACAAAAAAAACTTTAAAAATCTCCTTTAAAGCAAAAATTACTGTCTGAATTTTTAACAGTTTATTTCAGACAAAATTGCAAAAAAAATGAAAAATGAGAAAAATCACTCCTCATCTTTTTTTTGGGGAGGGCATCTACATGTTTGTATATTACAAGCTCTCCCAAGAATAGCTTCTTGTTTTACCAAAACACATTACATTCCCTTACCTAAGGACTTGATGTTGGTAAAATCTATCCTCCGAATTTGAAGCCGGCCTAAATAATGTGCAACTGTCAGAAATCATTCAGGTACCTCGAAATTCTCCAGACTGTCTTGCGTCTCAAATATAAAATAGGTAACTCATCTACATTTTGTACATGAAGTGAAACCTGATCTTTAAAAAAAAAAAGTCTGCCAATGTGACAGAATTAGCCAGGCTTGCAATACACCACGTGCATCCATCATTTCTTGACCCAGTTGAAATTCAATGCCAACATTCTTTCTCCATAACTGTAATGGTCTACGTGCACTTATAAACATGAATGGTGGACTCCCTTGTATACATGTACATAAATGCTTGATCAGATTACTCCGTGTACATGTACATGACACGCAGCAACTGCCCACTGACGTGGCCAGCCATACAGCAACATGCTGTACACCTGAACAGATAACTGTGCAGCTGGTACTCTCTGAAGTATGTCCATCAAAATCCCAAGTGGCAAAAATAAAAAGCTTTCCTATTTCATGTTATTGAAAGCTACAATCCCGGCCAAAATGGTTGGGACACTTCCTGAGCCTGCGCTGCCACGGTCACCAACTCCCCCGCTCCATGTTGTTCTCTTCAGCTGATGGAGGACACACCGCGCAATGAGAGACAACATTGAGCGAAAGTTTCATAGCGCATAAGTCCGCGACTTGTGCAACAAATCATTGCATAACTTGCGCAATCATTTTAGGTGGCTTTATTTTGTGGCGTAGCGACTGAAAAATGAACTATTTTACCAGCAAATCGTGATCGTTGTGGAGCCTGTTGTTGCACAACTTATCACGGTTGATACAAGACACGCACAACTTTATGTTCGAAATCACAGAATTGCTATTTTACTCATGACAGAGTTTTTAGAGTTGCCGCACAATTCCGAAGAAAGTTGAACAAATATATTTTCAAAATTGCGGGCAGAGGTGATTCAACGACTGTTTCATGAACATAAAAATCATACACAAACAGCCGTTGTAAATGCTGTTATTTTCCTCATCCAAGATGTTTGGATTATTTAAAACATCGATCAGCTGTGCCAAGTTTTGTGAAATTTATCGTAAGTTTATTGTGCAGCTGCGCAATATATTTGTTGCACAAGTCCTACGCATGGCTTAAGTTACACACTGTTTTGTAAAATCGGCTGCGCACATATAGCATCTGATAACACACAAAGTCCACCAGGAGAAACTTGGCTGGTACATTTATTCGCAGGCAATAAAGTACAGAAGTGTATACATCACGCGCACAATATATGCGCAGCAGACATTAGTGCGTGATTCGGCCTGTGAACCAACACACACGCATACTCTATTCGTTTGCACTTCACTTTCTGGTTCTAAATGACGTCACACTTTGGTACTCTATAGTCTTCAACAAGTAACATAACCTGGAGCTTAATTAAAAGAATTCCTTTTGCACCTTTAGTTGTGCACATACATGTACATATTTACCGAGTATGGATACCAAAGCAAAGGAAGCTGAAGAAAGTTCAGCCCTTCACTATTTAATCGACACAAATTCTTCAGAAACTGTACTACTGTGATTATAGCTCAATGTAAGCTGGTTAGAATTGAGCACATGTAAATGTACATGTAGGTGTAATAAATTGGTAGGCACCAGTTTATATTCTGTATTACTATTCATATCAGGCTTCCAGTGGTAAATATTAATCAGCGTATTGTACGCTTTCCTAAAAAGTACCTGGATGACTGCAATAATATGTGACCTGTTCTGTCAAAATCAGACTTTTCTGGGCATAAGGTCGAAAATGATATTTTTACATATTGTTAACATATGTTCTTTTTCCTTTTAATAGGTGGTTTAATTTTTGAAACTGGTCATTCCTGGGCAGAGTTATGCTATTTTGAAGTTCATTTTGTCGAAAAGTAGAAAACGGAGAAAATGACCACGAACGTCACAAAACAGTTATTTCTTTAACTGATATACCTTATCAAAACCATCAAAAATAGTATGTGTAGAGTTCAAATTAGGGTTTCAAACTTTTAAAATATATTTTAGACACGTTCGAGATTAAAAATATGCAAAAATTTGAAAATCGATAAAAATCACCCCCACAGCGTTTTTTGGCCCTATCTCAATTTCAACCTCTGCCCAGAAGCGTCTGCTTTTGACAGAACAGGTCACATATGTCAGTAAAAGTACCCAGATGAGGACAATATTATTTTTGATATTGTCCTCATCTTTGTTCAGCACAGCTGCACCACAGCAACATAAACTGTCACTCATCAGAAAAGTCTAGTGCACCATTAAGAGGCAGCCTTTCCCAAACCGCAGAATTTTTTTATATGCCAACAACATGTCTATAAACAGTCCTGTCCTATGATTGTTACAAATGCTTGCCACATGTACAAACTTGTGTTGGGACATCCCTCACAAGTATTTATTCAAAAGGAGTTGTGTCCATGCTTATGGCCATCTTGTTCACAGATGTGGGATGATAGATACATTTCTAATTCTGCATTCCCAGCATGTTTTTTTTCTCCGTTTAATTCTTCAATCTACAATATCTCTGATTCGGACTGAACATTTTTCAGTCCGACTTTTGGAAGTTGGCTGAATTCTCAGAATGTTCTTCATTTCTTTGTGTATAAAATGCACAAATTACACGAGTTGGCTGAGAAATTCGTACACATTATTTGTACAATAATGCTGCATTGACATCAACCCAAACTGCTGCAAACTGTTTATGTAAACAATAAACCAGTTTCTCGTGCCTGCCTGGTTTCATTTTTTTCTCGGCCGCATCCTTTTTTTTCAATTATTTTTTTTAAATTTATACATTTGCAATATATTTTGCACATACCGGTATGTTGTCAAAATATTGTATTTCTATTTGTTTCCAACAAAAGTGTAGCTATGTAGAAAGGGTTATGGCTCCTTTGGACACAACTTGTATCAGCAAAATAGTTGAGAAAATTGAACAATCCATCTGCAATCTTGGAAAATCCGCAATCTTGGAGAAAAAAAATGAAGAAGAAAAAAAAGCACCCAATTCCTTTTTATTTTCAAAAAGGGCGGACAAGAAATTACTTAATTTTGTTTCGATTGGTGGGGAAGTGTGGCCTAGTGGTTAGGGTTTGTGACTCGTGATCAGAGGGTCAGGGGCTTGAATCAAGCTGTTGGCCGTATGTTGTGTCCTTGGGCAAGCCACTTCACCCAAACTTGCCCCTCTCCACCCAGGAGTATAAATGGGTACCTGCA